CATACTCACTTTTTTAAGGCACCTTGCAACTCACCAGGCCCCTGGCATGCTACGCTGCAAGTGACGTATACCCGCATACTTTACGTGCCATGGTTGCGTGATGGCGGCGGCGGCGGCGTAAGTGGTATGTACTTGCTATCACTATCTAGGACAAATAAGCCGCAAAGGCACGTGTTTGGACGGGTTCGTATCAAGAACATGTCTGATGATGTATGTGTTCGGAACTTCTCAGCTGAAGGCAGAAAGCAAGACTTTCCGCGCATGTCCGCCTGGATTGGTCTAACTCGCGTATCGGGCCTTACCTTGGCTTCTATGGTAACATTTTTTTTTCTTTCCTTTTTTGTTTTCTCAATCCCTAGAGTATACTAGTATTAACTAACTATAAAATTCTGATTGATTCTTTTTTTTTTGCTTTTGGAAAAAATGCAATGCGATGCAATGTCTCATGCCGACCCTTGGAATCTGCAACTAAAGAGTTACCTGGTCGTACTTGCTACCATACTTACTTGGATTCCTTGCATACCATGGGAGGCTGTGCATATGGTAAGGTGGGAAAAGGGGGGGAGGGGAAGGAGGGAGACATGTAGTCATGTGTGGGACCACGTGCTTGTCCACTCTTACCCATCGCGATCTTGCGATCGTGAAGATCGCGGGGGGGGGGCGCGCTGATGTGTGTGTGTGTGTGTGTGGGTGTGTGTGTATGTGTGGAACTTGGTAAGGGTCGATCATATAGGGCCTCCCACTACAAAAGAGAATCATTACCATACTATCAGAAGCCGTATACAACTACCGTAACACACTTTACTTGCTACTATATCCAAACGGTGAGATGGGTGGTCACGCAGACATATATGCATGCTGCCACCTTCCCTCTTCTCTCTCGCTTTTTTTTTCTCTTTCCTTTCCCCCGGTTGTCTTACCGACGTTGCGGTTGGAGGGGAAGAGTGTGGGTGTGGTGTTATAGCTGGGGTTCAATAAGATGGAGCGTCATCGTCGGGAGGGCGGTCCCGACCAACCGCCGCGCTGGGCTGGGGTGTGTGTGTGTTGCGGATGACGTGGTGGATCGTGGCATCGGGGGGGTGGGCGAGTAGGATGAGTGAGGTGGCTTGTTGATGTGGTTTGTGTGGCTTTTTGTGTTTGCTGCTGAGGCTTTGCGCCGGGTTGAAGCGGATGACTGCGTGTTGAGTGGTTGGGTGAGGAGGAAACTTGGCGGGGGAAAGATGCGTATAGTGGTGGGGAGGTATAGAGGGTTTGATATAGCCTTCAAGGGTCTTTTAATTGGGTATCGCATTACTTTTCTTCCTTGGGGATATCAAATTTTCTCTTCATCGAAATTTGAGATAGATTTTTTTTTTCGTTAAGCGAACCGTTCCCAATTTCGACTTCAACTTTTTTAAATTTTTGTACCCTGATATTTGTTTTGATGCATTCGTATCTTAGTATCTGTTTGACTTTGACGTGTCCTGTTTTTTTCACCACTGATTTGAACATCTATCATAATTTGGCCTGTCAAGTCTTATTTGGAACCATTTCATAGAAATAACAGGGTTGATTTTCTATGGCATGCCGGTGTTTTTCCGTCAAAGATATTTTGTAGCAAAATCGTACGGCCTGCTGCTATTCCAACTATGTGGAAAGAAAGGGCGAGGTTGTTGGTTCCCATGAAATCAAAGAAGAAAACACAATTTTCCATCATGTGATTGCTTTTTACAATGTCGCACCAGCTTGACCACCACGTTCTTCTTTCCGACATGAAAAGTGATGACGAGAAAAATATCATGAACCTACGAGTCTTAAAGACTGAGCTTTCTCTGTACTTTCAGCGATGTTTGCATAGTTTTATAGCCCGAAGACACATAAAGAAAAGGCTGATGCCGCAGTTCCGGACATACCCAGGTTACATGTGATTGCCCGGATTTATAGATTTTACATATTTCCATACTGCTGATCTCGCGGATGTGGTAGGCTCCTGGAAACAAGAGTCCTTTGTTCCTTTGAGTGAAGTATCAGAGCCCACGAAACGCGGATTTGTTCCTAGATTCAAGGTGAAAGACTTGGTCAATCTACTTGCAATAAAAGTGTAGGATATGAGGTATGTGGTAGACGACTTGGCATCTATCAAGCTGGAGAGAACTGGACGATATATGGTGGAATTATGTTTCATAACAATCGGAAAATAGGGACCAAAATATGCTAGAGAGTATCAAGGGATCTTTTGTTAACGATATGTATTGTAAGATGTGTAAAGACCATGGGTGCGATAGCACAATTGGCGTTATTTGGCAAGATTTTCATGAGTTTTCAAAATATGGAAGTCCCTTCGTGCTGTTAGAAAAATATACCATAGTGCCTTATTTTCAAGTGCTTTGGGGAGAATGAATTGCTGACCTGTTATCAGGGGATCTAGACCTATTGAACTGTCACATATTTGAAGTTGTGTGGTGTTGCAGTTGAGAGTCGTGTGAAGAATATTTCAAATCATGCCGTTTCAGGTTGAATGACACAAAAAAACGAAAGAGCATGTTCTTCTTGCCTTCTATGTGTAATGGGGGTTGGATGAATCCAAAAACATAGTTCGGTTACTTGGAAAGATAGGAATGCGAGAGATAACTGAACGCTTCCTACACAGCGTCGGCAAAGTGCTCTACAGTTACTTCAGTGGGGACGGGTGGTTATATATGGGTAGGATCGTAATGTGCAGAAATTATGCAGTCTTGGAAAATGTAGTTAAATGTCCATGTAACACATGAAAGTCATCCAAGTAACCTTGGATTACCGCGCACATAAGTTAGCATATGGGATGGGAAAGTATTCAAGGTAACTACTGCAAAGCTATGAATACAGAAGGGAGATGCCTAATAAGAAAGAGAAGACATTAGCGGAAAGTGACGAAGAAGATCGTGTAAGCTTAAAGCAAGATTAGCTGCAGTGTACGTATGTGTATCACACACTAAAGTCTCTATCAAAATTATGAAATTAGCTCACTATAGTTGCGAATTACTCAATCGAAAGCGAGCCGCGACTCGGCCAGATTGGTTTCACCAAATTGTGCGCAATAGATGCTGAGCCCAAAGATACCAGCAGTTGCGAAGCTCAAATAAGGCTTTCCCATACCTAGCGGTCCGTGAAACAGGTATTCCCGACGATGTGGAATAGCCCTAGCTGCATACTGTCGCGCTTTTCGGATTACTATTCAATCCTTTTATCAAAAAGGACTTACCTGGCCAAGTGAATATGGGTATTGGTTTGTGGGAGCAGTACAGGCATTCTCATAGCGAAATGTCAAGGCATCCATGTACTTCTCAGCAGTGAGATATGAACTTGAGAAATTGTATGAATGGTCTTTCGGATGCTTCCTGAATACAAAAGAGGTTACTTTTGCCACAGCAGTTAAAATTGAACATTTTAAAAGCATGTTGAGCCGCTGGGGCATCGACTGTCACTAAACGTGTGAATGAAGGCGTCTGTATAATGGTAATCCAAAAGCGTTGAATTCTACAACAACTTCGTCTTGCTAGTCAGGCTTTCGTATAAATCTTGGTGGAATATTCTGGCTCTTGTCGTTGATTATATTGAATTTCGAAGACCGTTTGAAGCGTGACGTCCAGTAAAGATGTACAAAAAGAGGTTGGCATCGAACCTTCTTTGCTTTATATACGGATTTGTCGAGTTGAAAGATATGGCCTGATACCTGAGGTTAAGAGATGCTCAGAAACTTACATTAAAGGCTAGTCGTAGGGCAGAGAACATTTGCAGAGGCAGATACGGCAGCATATGAGAGAAAGCATGTGGGTCGGAGGTAGCGCGGATTTAAGCGCCCCGCTAGCGTGGACCCCTATCATGACTTCCTTTGTTCTTCTCGACTGGCACTATGCGTATTCTTGATACTGCGAGTGGAAAATACTGATGAGCGCTGCTATCGAGAAATCTTTGAAGATTCTCTTGCCAGTTCAGGCTTCTTAGTGCTTGCCGTTGCTCTTAAAATTCTTCCGGTATACTGATATCTGCCCTCGCCTCGACAGTTGTCTCTACTGGTGGAGTACCCGCTGGCAAGGCCATGATAGACGGCCGGAAGGTGATTTAATAAATTGCATCTTAGATAAAATCTGCTCGGAGACCTGGTTAGAGCAGTGGTCATGGAAAATTATTGCTTATCAGTATTATGTGGGTAAAATGGCAGGCTCTTTGTTGAGGGACTTGTTTGCTAAGCGTGTTAGTGTGCCTGCATTCCTTGCGCTAGTGTCGGTAGATGACAGGTACTTCATGTACCCTAGGATGGAAGATATGAGCCTTGGAAAGCGTGTGGGGGTTCTTGAGCCACTCTCTGCTGGTTCGCACATGGCGGACACTGGCGGTGAGTAGACGAGAAGGAGGGATGGGTATATTAAGCGGGAGCCGAGCAAAGTGGTCGAAACATGGGTGGTGAAGCGAGGTTCCGAAGTCGAAGGAAGCCTCGCCGCATTAAGGTCGCATCAAGCGATATACTTTTGACTTGTTTCAGGCTGGGCCAACAGTAGGCAGGCAGGTGGTAAGCAGGATACGGTGTAGACGCAAGATGGGATATCCGGCGAGGGTCAGCCAGCCCTGCAGTAAGCGGAAGCAGGACTAGGGCGGGCGAAAAGGAAAAACGTGCACGCAAGCGGCGCCCTGACCCGTGGGCAAAAATAATCATTTAGATCCGCGCCCGACTGTAGAGTACAAGACAGGCCCCTCGACACTTTTGCCCGGCGTGCCCTACCAACGCTCCTTCTTCACTGCTCCTGTGTTTTGTATAGACTCTCCACTCTTCCATCGGGGCGTCTCTACACGTTTGATACCCGCGTTTCTGCGCTCGTTTTTTTCCCTCCCACGCTGCTGCGCGCCGCTTACGCCTGCAGCCGCCAACCTTGCCTGATATCGATAAGGAAGCCCCTCCAAAAAAGAAATCCCTCGCCGCTCCCAGAGAAAAAGTGCAGCGAACCATCTCCCTCGAGCAGATGCCGCACTCTGAATCGCCCTCCATGGCTCCTGCTATCGTCGTCGACAAGGCTGGCGCCAGCCCAGCTCCCTCGCAGGAAGATGTCAGCGCCTTCGTCGACAGCATCGTCACGGCAAAGACGTCGCACGCTTCGGTCGATGCCGCCTACGCCCTCACCACCCTCCTCCAGAACTCAGTTGGCTTCCGCGGCCTTCGTGGTTATGGCATAATCGACGACATCAAGAAACACGCCGGCAACAAGAAGGATGCCGTGCGAAGAGAGGGCGCCATGAACGCCCTCGGCGCCCTTTTTGAGCGCCTCCCGCGCACGCAGCGCATCACAGAGGCCATCTTTCTTGTTCAGGAAGAGGGTCTGGTACCCCTGGCGCTCGACCTGATGGCAGACAAGACTGGCGCCGTCAAGGAGTCGGCCAAGTATGCGCTCGACTCGCTCTTTGACAACCTGAGCGCTGAGGCCAAGGTCGTCGGCCTACTCCCTGTGCTCTCAAAATACCTAGGCAAGAAGTCTGGAAAGTGGCAAGGTGCTGCTTTCGCATATGAGCTCATCGGACGCATGGCTGACAAGGCCAAGATGGGCATGGAGAGCTTTGAGATAGAGAAGGAAAAAGACGTTCTGCGTGAGGCCATGGGCAAGAAGCTCGAGGGCCTCATCCCCATCGTCGAGTCTGGAATGCACGACCTCAAGGCAGAGGTATGGCACTGTTGCATCATGAAAACCACAAAGTCATGCTAATTATGCACAGGTTGCAAAACAAGCAGTCAAGACTATGAACAGTCTCACCACCCTCCTCCAGAACGACGACATCGCACCCCGGATACCCCTCCTTGTCAAGGCTATCGAAGATCCCTCGACCCAGAGTCTGCAAAAGGCCATCCATGCCCTCTCGCAAACGACCTTTGTCGCCGTCGTCACGTCCCCCGTGTTGGCCATGGTCACTCCTCTGCTTGAGCGCTCCTTGAACATGCCCTCGACCTCCCAGGAAGTCACTCGCCAGACAGTTGTCGTTGTCGAAAACTTGACCAAGCTCGTTCACGACCCTATCGAGGCACGCACTTTCCTTCCCAAGCTTCGCCCCGGTGTGCAAGCTGTCAAGGACCGCGCATCCTTGCCCGAAGTCCGTGAAATTGGACAGCGTGCATTAGATGTCATCGAGAAGGCCATGGGCGACCCTGCACACAGCACTGAGAGCGGTGCCATTGCCCGCGTCCTGTCGTCAGATGTTCAGCAGGTTCTGGACAAGGAGATTGCTGCCGCTGGCACTATGCTCAACTTCCCCGGTGACGCCGAGACCTGGAACGTCACAAAGGCCTACATCTCTGAGATGATTGCCGAGGTCGTGAACCAGAGAGAGCTCCAGCGCATCCCCAAGCTCGTCGCACCCTACCTGGAGCCCCTGGTGAACGCTGGCGATGCCGACAAGGTCGCAGAGGCTGTCCACAAATTTTATGTTGACGAGGACCACCGCAAATTCGGCCAACCCGTCAAAGAGGATGACGGAGAGACCGAGATCGTCAATGCCGTCTTCTCTCTGGGTTATGGTGGTATGTTGCTTCTTTCGCACACCAACCTGCGTCTGCTCAAGGGCCACCGTTATGGTCTTTGCGGTCGCAACGGTGCTGGAAAGTCTACGCTCATGCGAAGTATCGCAAGCGGCAAGTTGGAAGGTTTCCCATCTCAGGATGAAGTCAAGACCTGCTTTGTTGAGCACAACCAGGGCGAAGATGCCGATCTTTCTATTCTGGAATACATTGTCCGCGACCCCCGCTTCGCGAACGAGAGCAGGGAGCGCATCTCTGAAGTCCTGGAAGAAGTCGGTTTTACCTCTGGACCTGAAGGCAGACAATCGCACAAAGTCGGATCTCTTTCCGGAGGTTGGAAGATGAAGCTGGCCTTGGCCCGTGCTATGCTCATGCGTGCAGACGTTCTTCTTCTTGATGAGCCTACTAACCACTTGGATGTCGCCAACGTTGCGTGGCTTGCAAAGTACCTCAAGTCGCACACTGACATTACCAGTTTGATCGTCTCCCACGATTCTGGTTTCCTTGACGAAGTCTGCACAGACATTTACCACTACGAAAACAAGAAGCTGGTATGCTACAAGGGTAACCTGGCTGACTTTGTTCGACAAAAGCCCGAGGCCAAGAGCTACTACACCCTGTCGGCTACCCAGGTCCAGTTCAAGTTCCCTCCTCCTGGTATCCTTACTGGTGTCAAGTCCAACACTCGCTCTATTCTGCGCATGACCAACTGCTCGTACACGTATCCTGGAGCGTCCAAGCCTTCGCTCGTCGATGCTTCATGCAACTTGTCTCTGTCATCTCGGGTGGCTATTATTGGTGCCAACGGTGCTGGTAAATCTACGCTCATCAAGATGCTTACTGGAGAGACTATTCCTCAGGAAGGTACCGTCGAGAAGCACCCTAACTTACGTATTGGTTACATCAAGCAACACGCTCTTGAGCACGTCGAGATGCACTTGGAAAAGACACCCAATCAGTACCTCCAGTGGCGTTATGCCAACGGTGATGACCGTGAGGTGCTCATGAAGCAGACTCGTGTCCTCACTGCCGAAGACAAGGCTCAGATGGAGACTCCAATTGACCTTGGTGACGGTAGGGGCCCCCGCAAGATCGAGGCGCTTATTGGTCGTTCCAAGTACAAGAAGACATTCCAGTACGAAGTCAAGTGGCTCCACATGCTGCCCAAGTTCAACTCGCACATCTCCCGTGAGACTTTGATTGAGAAGGGCTTTACCAAGCTCGTCCAGGAATTCGATGACCACGAGTCTTCGCGTGAGGGTCTCGGTTACCGTGTCCTCGAGCCCAAGGTCATCTCTAAGCACTTTGAGGATCTTGGCTTGGACCCTGAGATTGCGAACCACAACGAGATTTCCGGTCTCTCTGGAGGACAAAAGGTCAAGGTTGTGCTCGGTATGTACACTTCATCTGCGATACTGACGAACCATTGCTAACACATACATAGCTGGTGCCATGTGGAACAACCCCCATCTTCTCGTCCTTGATGAGCCTACCAACTTCTTGGATCGTGACTCCCTTGGTGGACTTGCTGTTGCCATTCGTGATTACAAGGGTGGTGTCATCATGATTTCTCACAACGAAGAGTTTGTTGGTGCGCTGTGCCCTGAGCAATGGCATGTTGCCGATGGCCGCGTCACCCACAAGGGCCACCTTGCCGTTAACATGGACCGTTTCGAAGACTCGCGCCCAGGATCCAGCAACGTTAGCAGTAATGTGAGCTCCGCAGCTCCATCTACCAACGGTACTCCTGTCATGAGTGAAGCCGAGGGTGGCAAGGACGACATGAAGTTCAGGGCCAGGAAGAAGAAGAAGATGACCAAGAAGGAACTCAAGGAACGTGAAGTTAGGAGAAGATTGAGGTACATTGACTGGCTGAATAGCCCCAAGGTATGTCTTTCTCCCATGATGAGCAGCTTGAGCATGACACTAACTAAGTGTTTAGGGCACACCCCAACCTCCCAACACGGATGATGAGGCCGAATAGATGCGTTTATGACTTTTTTTTTGGTTTTACAACCGCACGATATCTTAGACTTTGCAGAACTGCATGACCTGGCGTTACATAGAGGTTTGGAGGGATGAGTGCGTTTATTTTCACGCCGAGCGATAGACAATAGTTTCTTTCGTTTGGTAGACTTGATACATGACCAAAAGTATTCTTTATCGTTAAGTACGCCGTCCCATTTATCATTTGAATGTGTATTGCTTTGCATCTATGTGTGTGATTAGTGTGGCGAATCCGACTGTTTGCTTGACCGCACTCAAGGAGTGATTTGACCAGCGCTGTTGATGCAGCAACGCCCGTCAAATATTATCATTTGAATTAACCCGACACTTTGAAAACCAAGCAAACCTTTGAGACTGATGTTGGTGGTTCTAGCACTTGGCAGAGTGACGTGCTGGTTTGAACGAGGTAGGCAGCGGGTCCGTTTGCTCCTTCCTTTTACTTCACTTCAGAGTCTCTCAATATGCTCCACTTCATAATCCTCAAAATCATTCTTCCTCTTCCTTGCACAGTCCAATTTCACCATCACCAAGGGTTTCTTGTCATTCTCGCAGCGTCTCTACTCACCCACTCACTCTCTTCTCAATAATACAACCCTCGCTTAGGCGTGACGACCAGCTTAAAATCACATACACATACAAGCTCCAATGAGGCTCTTCACTACCGCCGCCGCCTTTGTTGGCCTACTAAAACTTGCCATTGCCTCGCCTATGCCTACTTCGTCCAGTGCCGTTGCTATCACTACCGCTGAGGCACCAGCCAGCATTCACTCCACCAAGTACAACAATGCAAAGCCTATGTGAGTAGTTCCATGTATGGCCTCAGTGATGTCTCCAGACGCGGTTGCTAACATCTTTGTCATCTTAGTCTTCACTACCCTCACATCACCGAAACCTCAACCGAGACACACGTAGCCATGGCAAAGAAGGACGCTCTCACATTCGACGACAAGGAAAAGAAGCGATACGAGTGCTCGAATGATCGCACATGTGTTCTGATTTGCCGTTATGGGTTCTGCTCCACTGAACATTATTGCAAGAAGGGTACGCGGTGCAGCGATAAGTGTGCTTGCTGCCTGGGAGTCCGTGAATTGGCCATGGAGAATGAGGGCTTTGGAGAAGCTTATGCTTAGGATGGTGAAGACAGTGTGATCCTCAAGATGAAAAAGTTCTTTCTCTTTGGGACTACCGAATATGATGTGCAATCTGCAAAAAAAAAAAGTTAATTTGCTATATTGTGGAGGTGGAAAATGAGTACAAAACGCTTGCATCGCCTTATGCAGACTACAACCATCTCACTCTTAAGAGAAAAGAAAAGCTAACATGTTGATTTGAATATCTTAGAATATTTTTTTTGTGTGTCTAGGCAGCATAAAAATCTGTGGTTTACTCAATCCCCAGCATCACCACCAGCATTGCTACTGGATACACTATGTCCCGCCGCACCCTCCTCAGCACGGTGCTCATTCGTCGTGCGACGACGCAGCCCCGCACCGCCCGAGTGACTGGGCCTGGGATGCTCATCATGCTCTACCAACGGAAAGTGCAAGCCCGGCTTACTCGCCAACGCATCCCTTATCTCCTCCACACTCTTGGCCGCCCATCCCGCACTGCCGAGCTTGCTAAGCGGATACAAGAGCTGATTCTCCGGATGCATGACGACCTCTTCGATACTCGAGGCCGGCTTGCTCATGATGATATCAATGTCCTTTCTGATCTGCAGACAAAACGCGTCGAGCGGGAGATCGTTGACGTCGTCGCCAAAGGGATTCTCGATCTCGCGGCCGATAAGCGCAATGCCGAGGATGATGTATGCGGCGAAGACGCTCGCGGGGATGGTGATGTAGCCGAGTAGCTTGTACAGCTGGAAGGGGAGAAGCAAGATGTAGACCCAAGTGATTTGGCTGATGGCGATGCTGTAGGCAATGGGCAAGGGGGTCGACAGGATGCGTTCTGTGCCCGCGAGGATGTCGTTGAAAGTCGTGATTGCGTTTAACGACTGTGTCTGGTAGATTGATACTTTGAAGGTGCCGTTGTCGTAGATGGATTTCATGTAGATGCTGAGGTAGTTGAGGATTTCGAGAGGGAGGTTACCGAGGGGCACGCGCGAGCGCTTGACGAGTTTACGGGGGTTCGATTCGGCCATGGGGAGGCCGAGGAATTTGCCGGCCGTCTTGAAGACACTGGGTTTCTTGTTGACGTCCGGCTGGTCGGCTTCGCGGGCGAAGGTGTCGAGGTGGCCGGCTAGGTGCTGGAGGTCATCGTAGTGCACGTAGGGCTCGAAACGTAACTTGTGCTTGAGTGCGACGGAATAGGCAGCGATGAGGTTCAGGCAGTTGATTTTGGCCAGCAGGTCTTGTTTACCGAGTTCCGGGTCCTGACCGTGGCGTTCGTCGACATGAATCCAGATGAGGCGAGCGAGATTCTGGGATGCGAAGGTGAGTTGGGCCCAGTATTTGCGGCCGTCGTTGTAGCGCTCATAGGCTGTGGAGCTTCGGAAGCTCAGCGCGAGACCAACGACGAAACCCAGGACGGTAAGCAGAAGCTGGTTGACGCTGACTGTGGGATGTAATCAGTACATGTTTGCGTGGTAATGAAGCAGTTGTGGAATGCTTACGGTCATGTACGAATTTTGATATCAGTGTAATCATGCTGGCCCAACCGGCCACAAACAACAGAGGCAACACCATTTCTGGTGTCACACTGCCGTGAACACGGAGAAAGACGGGCCATTTCGAGTGGTGGTCAAGGTCGCGTGGGCCAATCTGATCAATGTCAGTGACTATACACAATTGCGGTCGCGAGAAAGAAAAAGAAGACATACAAAGTAATCGTCAAAGTCCTTGTCGCTGTCTTGCTTCTTCAGCGGCGGCCGTTTGGAAGAATCGCCATTCGTGCCATTGGACACACTGGCCGTACTCTGCGCCTTCTCCGTCATGGCAATGCTATGTTCACCTGCGAAGAGAACAAAATCAAAAGTGTTGATGCTAGCAACTCGGTTGCGCTCCAGTACTCCAGGCGCGAGAGAACCTCATATTATTATGTCGCATGCCTCCCCTATCCCTGGCCCGTTTCATTCAAACATCGTACCGGCCACTAAAACAGTGCGATCTAGGCGGTGGCGTCTAGGTAGCGCTGGCAGCGGGACAAGGTTATAATGGCGAACACTGCAAGCGGCAAGGCTACGATAAACGACTCCAATTGAAGGCAACCCCGTGGCGGCAGTGGTGTAAGCGTAGGCTTGATTCAGATACAGCCCGACTTGGCAGGGTGCTTTCGCGGGCTTACTGGAGCGTGGACCGCGGGACTGAGGTTGCAGATGGCACAGCTGAGTCGTGGTTTTGCACTGCCTTTCTGCAGGCGATTGAGCGCACAGATTAGATCGACGAGCCAAGGTTGGCTGTGATTCGCTTGTCTAATCAAAGCTTTCAGCTGGGCGGAGGTCGAGATGTTATTCTGCGACTTGGCGGTGATGGCCTCGCCAGAACTGCGGCTCCTTAATCACACAGGACATGGTCAGGGCGGCGCAGATATTAATCCGGACCGCTGTGCTGTGGTCCTGCGAAGAATTACCAGTTTCCAGTGACCTGCTGTCTTCTCTCAACTACGATTCATATCGGTGAAGGGACAAGACTTCAATACAGCTAGCATGTGATGTATTTTAGTGAGGTTACAGTGTATCGCAGACGATGGCATTGATCGGAATACCATATTTGGAAGACGTCATAACGAAAAGGTGAATTATTCCTGCCACGGCGATCATTCAAGTGCTCGAAGCTCTTGTTAAAGTAGCATTGTACTCTAGTTGAGTCAGGTTCTCTACCCTTTGAAAAGACTGGGACCCGTAGTAGCCCCACCTGAACATGTCCCACACAAGCGGTACCATTGAGTTGTTTAGGCATAGATTGTAAACCCTCAAATGCGGCGCTGCAACCAATGGAGAAACACTGCCTCTCTACGCACATACCTCACTCGCGCACGTGAAAAATCGTGATTGACGATGAGAGAACAAGTATCGGAAGGTGCATCGAAGAAGAAGTGATCGAGTCGATCAGGCGAGATGTCGCTAACAACTAGCGGCGCGAAGGATGCCAGATCGAAGCTTACTAGCGGTGACACACAGTATTCATCGACGCGCACCCAAGCTATCCCAATCGCGAGCCACGAGAGAACAACAGAAACTTTCGTAGAAGAAGGCGAGTCTAACAATATCAATCAAGGCCAGAGGCCTACGAGAGAAATGTACTGTAAAATCGTCGCTAGCAAAAGACCAGTAACAAACTGGTGGGGGCAGCCTCCCGATCCTAGTCTCGGATTGACATCGCGTCCCTGCATACACTCGTCATAGGTCAAAGCAAACAAGCCTTTTGGATCGCCCTGCGCATAACAGCAGCCAGCCAGCTGACCAAGGAAAATGGGAAAAAAAAGTAGCCTCTGTTCAATGTCTAATAACTAATCTAACCGGGCATATGTATACGTCAGACCCAAGCGGTTTAAACTTTGATCTTCTCTCCCCAGCTTTCTCAATCACTCTTTGTTGTGAACCTTCTAACAGCTAGGTTATTAGCCAACTAAATTCCCGAGCGCTTCATACGGACCATCTGAGTCGCTGCCTAGGCCTTGAAGGCCGCCTACATTCATACCACAATGTCGTTTATAGCCCATGCAATAAAAGACAAACAGACAAATGTCGTCATCTTCTCCGCTACAGCCATTGCGCTGTACGGCTACGACCAGGGCATGATGTCGCTCATCAACACAAACTACAACTACCTCGATACCATGGGCTTGTACGAGGAGTCCCCCATGGTCGGCGTCATCGTGGCCGTTTACTATCTTGGGTGCGCAGTCGGAGCCGTCCTTTTCTCCAAGCTCGCCGATGAGTTGGGAAGGAAAAGAAGCATCTTTTTCAGTTTGGCAACGGCTTCGTTGGGCAATCTGCTCATGTTTATCAGTGGAATGGGTGTTCTGGGGAAGAGCAGCCAGGTCGCTTTGGGTATCATGTTGGCGGGAAGGGTGATTATGGGCCTCGGTGTTGGGGGTATTGACGCGGTGATCCCGACTTACTCTTCCGAGCTGAGTTCGGACGATTCGCGCGGTAAAGCTCTGGCGCAGGAGTTCCAGAGCAATATTTTCGGCCTTGTCATGGCTTTCGGAATCAATCTCCTCGTAACGATTCTGCTTGGCAAGGAAAACCAGTGGGCGTGGCGCATCCCCATTATTGTCATGCAGGTCTATCCTGTCCTACTGATTGCGTTTGTGGAGCGTCTTCCAGAATCTCCGCGCTGGCTTATATTTCATGGCCACAAGGAGCAGGCAGAAGAAGCAATGGAAGATATTTATGGAGAGCAAGCAAAGGATAAGCTTGAAGAGCTCTTGGAGCAGCATGAGAAAGAGAAGGATGAGAAGGCTGGTTACATGGACATGTTGACACCTGGAAACCCGCAGTTTCACCCTACAATGATCACAGTCATGTCTCAGGTCAACCAAGCATTGACAGGATATGGCGCGGTCAGTGTGTATGGGCCGCAGATCTTTGAGGTATGTAATGCCAAGCCATGGAGCTTTTGCGTGACATGTTGGTACTAAAGTGTAACATACATAGCTACTCGGCTTCTCAGTCCGCAACTCGGAATATCTCACTCTGGGAAACTACACATCATACTTTTTCCTCATGACCCTCGCCTGGCTGCTTATCGATGCCATCGGTCGCCGCAAGATACTCATTCATGGCTCCATCATCCTAGCAACTTCCTTTGCGCTTCTCGCTCTCTTCGGCGGTCTCGTGGCAAACTCCGACTCCTTACACATCCCCGTGTACGTTCCCGGTATCATTGGAACAGTTGTTCTTTTCGTGGCTACCGGCGCTTTCGGAATCGGCTGGCTTTCGACCGTCTGGCTGTTCCCAACTGAAGTGTACCCCACCACTGCACGTGCGCAGGGAACTGCCATCTCTGTCATTATCTGGGGCCTGGCCAACTTTGCTATCACATTCCTTACACCTGTACTCTTCAACAACTTGGACTACTACATCTTCCTTGTATTTGCAGGTACTAATGCTTTTGCCGGCCTGTGGACGTACGTCTATCTGCCGGAGACGGGTGGACGCACTTTTGATGAAAACATGGAGTTCTTTAAGGAGGCAGCGGAACAGGGCACCTGGAGGGTCAGCAAAGTAGGTAAGGGCGAGTGGAAGAAGATGGTGTATCCTGATCCTGAGGGCGAGGGCAATGTGGATGCTGAGCGTGTGCCGTTGTTGCACAGGATAGAGGATCAGGTTCCTAGTATGGGTAGCAGCTGATCATGCTGGCCTAAAACGGGTAAAGTACACGGGTTATTTTTGCTTCTTCTATCCAAGCTGCAGCTGCCCAACAGACTGGAATGGATATAAAGATGGGGGGCGGCTGTGGCAAACAGGTGTAATAGAGGTATGCATCAGCATTAGAAACATGGGTGCAATTTCAATATCGCTCTCGATCAGCGTTTGTCATGTCAGAATCAAAAGCGCGCGATATCTTTTTGATTCAAGAGAAAGTATGGGTGATCAGCCATTGTCTCGGCTCGGTACACGCAGGAGCAGTAGTTGGTATCTCGACCAGGGGGCTGTTGGTACGAAACAAGGACAAAAAGCTGTTGCCTTGGCCCATCGACGACCCCATTTGTTGGACTCGAATGTCTCTGCTCGGGGTTAACACGACTCGTCCTTTGACCGGAGACTGAGTGGCAGTAGCGATATCGTCCGGTCATCTCTAGGCATCAGCATAAACGCTTCACTGTTCACCAGGCTGTGCAGTCGGAGAAGTCGGAGTCGGTGTTTATCTCCGCCGGAAGATGCCAACCCCGTGCGCCTGCAGTAGAGTATTGCGCAGGCACCAATTGGCAGTGGCTCGCCGCAGCATCAACAGCGAAACAGAGGATAGATCCAAGTTCTGCAAGGTTGAAATTAAGCTCTTTTCAGCATAGCAGCTGCCCATCAGTGCGACATTCCCAGGCGGCTGATGCATGACGCACGCCGCATCGTCTGTGTCAGCTCTTCACATAAAGCTCCTGAGCTGCCACCATCAACAAGTCGCCCATCTCCAATTACTTGCAGCCACGACGTCGACTTGGTTAGTCTGAAACCCACATTGCACCGACCTGGACTCGGGAGGACGCGAGTTTCCACACGTGGCCCCACGCTCTTGACAGTCCCTGCACTGCGTGTTCCTTTGCAAAGCATAGCATAGTCGGTTGCTGCTGCCAACCAATCATAGCAGACGTGTTTGTGAGCAACCTCAAATAAGCGGAACGAGCGAGGCCAACGCGCGTTATATAACCAAGTCCTCCACACCCCTCGAGCCGCCCATCTGCAGCTTTTGACAACACCAACCCTAATCCTCCTCGTTCGACTTCCCTGTTGTACGGTAGATCCAGTACCGAAAAGAAAATCAACCCTCCGCTCTCATCACTCCCTGCTTTCCAAACAAGGGACACTGTCGCTAAGTCAGCCATGTCGACCATACACCTCACAATCCACGATCTCCTACGCATAACATACACGTACGAGATGCAGGCCATAGAATCTCAAGCACAAAGCCAGCAATACACACAACGTCCTCGCTCCGACTCTGCATGTTCCGTAAGTCCTTTCCAGTCCCGCCACAATGTGTCGGTAAGCTGTTCACAATGTGCCTACTAACAAAGAAGCGCCAGATGCCAGAAATATGCGCACATCTTTCGCCTCCAAGCCCGAGACTCTCATCTGCATACTCAACCCTCGAAGAGCTAGAAACGGACTTTACAAGCTCGTTCAGCCAGAAGAAGAAAGCGAGCTTATGAAATATCACATGTTGCTCTCCATTCGGCCTTGAACCCCAGGGTCAGAGAGGATTGAGCATGCTAGATCGAAAGATGTTACAGCACCCATGACAGCAGAAGGGATTTCATAGGTGCGAGGAGAGTAGACTGTAGAGGGAACTCCATCACCCATCTTCCCTTGTTCTGTCCTGCAGACCACATCGAGAACGCGAGTAGTACGCATCACGCCACATTTCCAAGCTCTTTGCTCTTCTCCCTTTTACCCCCACACTGCTGGAATTCTTTTCCGGGCGAACACGCAACCTTTTATGGAGGTCGGACTCCACACTACCCCACTCATGCAAAGAGAGGAAACGGGTTCGCGTGGGACGACGGTACGAAGATCGCAGTGGGCATTGTTTCCGCGCACATCGGTCCGACGTCGCGCGCGCCATTGGCTGTAGTGGAGAGGCAACGGGGGATAGACGAGGGGCCAAACCGGGGTTACGGAGGGCTGAAGCGTATGAGGATCGGAGTTGTGGTATCAAGCGCGAGAGGCGCACATGTAGCATTCCATCTTGTATAATCCATCTAACGTCCATCCCTGCGTAGCGGGACACCCTATGTGCAGGGACGCCTTTTCATTCGGACCTTTGGTGTCAAGCTAGTGCGACTGCACCAAGTCAAGCTGAACGCACATCGATTCGGCTGCTGCAGCTCTCTCACCACAGTAGCATCCGGTTAGGAAGAGCGTAGTGTTGTACGTGCTGACGGCCAATCGATCACCACCATCAATCAACCCTAAGAACGTGCGCTGTTAGTGCCACTTGATATATACATTGCTTGTAGTACCGTGCTCGAATATCAGCACAGTTGACGAAGCACTTTTCAGCGTTAGAGATGAACATGCTAAGAGAGAGCCGCACAGTAGATGCGCATTGCGTTTGTCTATACACAAGCATGTTGCGGACAATCCGAGGGTCTATGAGAGAAAGCGTCACGTTACACAGTACGTCCTGGCACCCAGGGACGGACGTTAATTATGTAAAGGGCCAAACTCCGTGTGGTATACCGTTGTTCTCGCGCGAGTCTACGCGCATCAAAGTATCTGTACAAGAAAGAAACTTGACGTGATAAATTCAGGTGCCGTCGTTGCTCATGTTGATGAAAATTGATTTCATTCGTTGTTGGCTGCCCAGGGTGATGGAAGGGAGCTTCCTTTGTTGTTTTACTCACCCCAAAATTTCTCTAAGTCGCTTAGGCGAATAATCAATTCCTGAGAATGGTGCAATCAATTCCTACCGTGTATGTACCCTAGTTGCGCAATCTTGCCTAAATCAAGGCTGAAATTGACGCATCCCTTTCTAGGGGCTTTGACAGTGTTGCAATGCGAGTCACTGTCAACGCGAAATCTGTGCTTGTGCACTGTGAGGCAGATAATCACACTGCACTGCAAGCCAGGATATCATCATATCATACTTGCGCCTACCTCTCGTATTCATTCCATCGTCATGATAAATTTCTCAATAGCAATTGTGCGCTGTTTCTTTTAATCAATTGTACCCCTGGGCGGTGGATTTTCAACGCAGCAAAGCTTGTGTTGAAATCGAGCCATAATCTTGCCATAAGAACGCTGTCTCTGCGCCAGATGACCAAATGACCACCCCTTATCTTTAATCGTGGCCATTCCCAGAGAAGAGCTAGACAACGCGCTGTGGGTGCTGAACATGGCATTCTAATGCAATCTGTGTGGTCATGGTGGCGTGCGGAAGGGACCATCGAAGCTGCAAAAAAAAGCAACCAGAAAATACCACCACCAGCGCTCTCATGTATGCACAACGTGCAATAGCTCCGGCTGGAGAATAAAAAAAAAATACTGCAGTTATGGCCGAGCTTCATCCTCATCCTATGTCCTCTCCAGGAGCAAAAAAATGCAAAAAGTTCGGTTGTATCAGGCCCTTGTTAGCCCTATACTTACCTCCTGATACAACCTACGTCTTTTGCCGGAATCGAACCTCTCGCCGCAGTCGAACCTCTATCCGGACGGAACGCAGAAATCAAAGTGGACTTACCTGACCCTGGCCCATTCGCCATTCACCTACCCTCAGGCTGGGTATTGCCGTATGCCACCCTATAGCTAGGTGCTGCTTAATGAAAGTATGGAGAATTTAATAACTTATATATCCAAAGAAAGTGAGCGGGGTCAGGTGTGATATCATTGTGGGTGGCAAAATGAATGCACGGGGCGACGTGAACATTGACCAAGGCGGGGACGTTACCACCTCCCAGGGGTCCTGCGTGACAAACAGAGAGCATAGTTGTGCCTTGTGATGCTCCATCTTGCTGCGGACTTTGTTGAGGCCATTGCCCTACCAGTCCATATCTTTCTGCAGTCTTGACCTGACCTTGCTTCTCAATCGCCCACAGAGACACCTTACAGCAACTCTGCTTGGGACTGAGCATTACTTCATGCAGGCCTTCTCCTCATTGCTTCAAGCAAACTTTCTCCTATTCGACTGGTCTGGCTGACCTGGTGTTGCATCCATCGAGCGCGCGGGCAATGAGCCTTGGCGGGGAGTTGACATTGCGCCACTCTGCCCATCCAACAACAACAACACCAGCGCGAGACCATTACCATACAAGCCGACGATGTCCTTCTACTCATGAAAGCTTGCAGACGCTTCTCCAGAACGGAGTAGCGACCTCATGTGTGCTCAGGGTATGTCATTTGCAAAACCTTCGACGTGAGAGCGGACTTCAACACCATCGGGCGAGTCACCCATGAGACAGACAATGGTCCTGAAGAATCTATACACCACACTCCAAGGAGAGCCGTGGCTTACTTGAAAAGGTATGATGCAGTCTCATGTAGATGCAGGAGGCACTGGCGGTATCCAGCTTGCATCTCTTCCGAACATCTTGTGAACAGCAACCTCTCGACTGCAGTAAGTAGAACCGCTGCGATGACATGAACTGTTCTTCGCGAATCGACTAACTTCGCCTCATGAGAGGAGAACAGGCTCCCGATGCGTTGCACAATGTCTTTGTATGCAGCGTGAGCCTAGTCGAAGCAACGAATCGCTGCTACGAGCGCCTGCATATATCCCTTTGACTTCCTATCGCGCATCTCCCGAATGCGACAACAGAGATAAAGCGACTTGGGCCAAGGGGAACACAGAGGCTCCAACAAGGGGCGATCGCAATCGCAGACGCCTTGCTCATCTCTGCAAGAACGCACTCGCCGCAGCAAGCTTCGTGAAGGTCGCTACAACCCCGAGCAACGAACAACACCACAAAAGCTCTTGCTGTGATTGACTGGCAGCTGAGGGAAACCGGTGCGAGCAAGTATCACAACAGCGCAGGTTAATGAAGACTGACATCAGTTGTGTAGATGATCACTCCCAGCGTACCGTAGCTCGACGTCTGCTCCTCTTGCAAGGCTTAAGGGAATTCAGTGCCCCTCCCTGCACAATGCGCACTCTGCTTACAAGATTTTTGACAATCTCGGTCGGGCTGAAAGGGACGACAGATTCTTTACAATTTCCTCGACCGACTCGGTTGTACAGTCATGAAAGCCTCTGTTCGTAAACAACACCTCGAGTATAAGACGCTGCCTCGGCCGCAGTCATCGCATTACCCAGTCTACCAAAGACTACCGTTGGGCAACGAATTGAAACATTAGAGACTTGCCGTCGAAATACAATACCACTTGGCCGAACAAGGAATCGCAGGCGTGGATGTTGTTTACTCAAGGGGGCCGATACTTTGTGGTCACCATTGAGCAAAGCCAAAGGTCGACAAATGCGCATCCAAATGTATGGTTGAGAGTCCACGGACTATCGCGGAGTTCAAGTCGCGTCTTCAAACCAGCTAACAGGTGTGGTAGATGCAAAACGCAAGACCAGCATCGTGGCTTGCTACTGGCCTGCGGAACTCTGGTGTCCGATCACCAGTTCACAACACAGCGCGTGAAGCACCTCGCACCAAGTCCTCGAACGGTTACCGGTCTCTCTTACGTGCAGGGATACCATTCTTAAGAGATAGGTAATGGACGAACAGCCAGAAACGGCGGTTCTGCTGGTGCTAGGGATGCCGCTCCTGCAGATAGTCATTCAGAGACTGTATATCGAGGCACACGACTCCATCGGATACGCTGGTGATCAGTCGTATATCCCAAAGCTTTCTTTGTTTCCGGCCCCTAGAACTAGCAACCATACAGGCAGATGCAGGAGATTGGTATCACGTCTCAGGTATTCGGATACCAGCATACAAGACCGAGTGCATGGTGCAGTTAAGAGAGGGTTCCTCAGGCCATATATCGCCGGACAGAGAGAAGCTTAAATAAGGAGAACAAGGAGTAGAGTCCAAAGGGCCCAAGAGCTCAATGGAACTTTCCTGGGCATCATTCGACTTCGCAGGAAATCGCGATAACAATCAGGGTCTGTTGGAGACTCCCCAAGCACATCTGGTTGCGCTGCAGAATAACCTTCCTTTGCTCAAGATGATAAAAAGGAGGCTCATGTCGTTCTGACCCGGATGATACTCGCTGGTACATTGCTTCTCAGGATCGTTCTAGGTTAAGCTCTTCTCAATTCCTCTGACGAGAAGGATCCATGAGAAAAGCTAGAACCATAAGATATTTCGATACTGAGATACCCTCCTGTAAACGGATGATTGACGCTGCCTTTCAACCAGTTTGGAAGTAGCCTAGGACTTCTCACCCAAACCAAGCAACATCAGCGCCTCTTTGGTACCGCAAATTATTGGCCGATACATGTAGCTGCCATAGGCACTAAATTTTTCAAAGGGCCATGGCTATACCACTCCAGCCGAAGTCGTGCATGCTGTCTTTCCAGGAGGTGGAGGCTACAACTTGGGCTGACATGACAACATGCCTGGGCAATCCAATCCACGACGGGTGATCAGAATTTTCGAAGGACTCAAACAACTCCGAGAGGACCATCCATCGGTCCGATGTATCCCACCCGGAGATGTTGCCGATAGCTTGTTCTTTACCGCGGCCTTGGCCGGTAAACTCAACATGTTGTCTTGTTGCAGATGCGGAGGCGCATCGGCCGACGCATGCAAAGTTCATGGACTGAACAGTCCATTCATACATAATTGAAATACGACAATTTGTCATACCGGCAGTGAGAGAATCGCCAATGAAGGGGACCACCAGAGAAATGCTTTGACCGGGGAAGCCAAGTTGATGCTCCAAATACCCCTCGAGGCGCTGACCGAAGTCTATGAAAAGGACGATCATGGCGCATGTTCTAAGGATGAAAACCGAAGCGCGAGTCTGGTATGTGTGGACTTCAGCCAACAACTGCCGTCAGGGTACCTTGACATGCCCGCCTGAAACCATGTCATCCATTAGAACCACTGTCCAGGTGGGGCCGTTGTCCTCGTCAAGGTCAACAGCAACCATCCATGAGCTTGCTCCAGCAAGGCCGTGGGTTGATTGGGACCTAAAATCCCTGATGTACAAGTCAAAACTCAACCCACACATCTCCACCATGAAGATGATAAGAGGAGATGTCACATCCCCTGATGAGACATCCAGTGTAAAGCGGAGATGTGCCACTCTTCGCTCTCGTTCATGTCATGATCACGAAGTACGGTACTCGATGTCGACTTTCCTAGCTCTTACTCAAGCTCAATACGCTTGTCAAAGTGGCTATGCCAGCTCCCGTCACACCGCATTCCTGGCACCTTGTACGGACCACATCCAAACATTTGGCGCTCATGGCAACGCTCGGCTGATGGTCTCACCCAATAGAGCAACGATGCCATTGTCAATCATGGCCAGCGAAGTGCCCGTCATGGCCTCACAGTTCTGCTTATGTTCCGTTTGCCAAGGAAGGTGGCTGTCGCCATGCCGATGCCATCGTCAACTTTGTCGGGCGGAGCGCCGTGTCGTTCCATGGAAGGCTAAATGATTACCGGAAGCCTCGTCGCTGCAGTTTGAGGCGTCGGGCGTCTTCGCGTGATCTATGACTTCGTATGCAGCCTTGCGAGAATTTGCGTGGATTCGCGATTTTGGCCTAAAAAGAAAGCACACATCGTAAGCCACGCACACAGAACTCAATACGGGGATACATGTGAGAGAAGGAATACGGTACCAATGAGTACACCATGACATCTGCTTCTACTCACACATTGCATTCAGCATCGATGCTCCGGATCCCTGGTCGTGTGTTGTGTGGCGCCTGTCGGCTGCCCTTGTGATCTTGGAGTTGTTCCGTTCGCGTCCCGTGGAGCGTAGGCGAATGAACTGGAGCTGGCAGCATGCTATCGTCGTCAGCTAAGGGCTTTCGCATATGCTGCTGACATTGGCGACTCGTTGTTAGGGGTGTCTTCGATGTGTAGGATGCCCTATACGCCAGCCGCTAATGCTGTCTCCCGCATAGCTTTGGCTCTGGAACCACGGTGTCATTCATCCACGCCACGTTTCTGTGTGTATACCTCTGCCCAGCGAGGGGCAGCACTGATTCTGATGATGGCAGACATCATATATACCTCACCATGTATGATAGAATGGCGTCCCTCGTGGTGTGCGTGCTCCGGCAGAGGTACCCCCACTAGGAATATTACTGACGGGGGTCTTGGCGAGGTTGCGGACAGGACGCGACTGGCTCTCTCGAAAAGAGGCATTGTCCCTGGGGCCGCAAAGAGGCTGAGATACCAGATCAGACATTGATGATGCCGCTCTCGATGCTTGAATATCCAACATTTGGTGGGGGAGGGACGGCAGGAGGAGAGGCTCGACGTGAACAAGCGCCAAAGCGAGATCCGCAGCGGAGTGGCCAGGAGGTGGACCACGGGAGCAACAAGGCATAGCCTCATTTATCGAGAAACAAGAACAGGAATGACAAGAGCTGAATGCAGAAAACAAGAGCGCAAGGCCGAAAGTTGACTGATGTTGACATGAGGGTGGGGATGTTGTGTCGATGAGGGGTTTGGCACAAGCAAATTGCCCGGCATCCTATTCCCCACCAACGGAACCCTGGAAGCTGCTTGCGGACGTGCCCACCATTTGCTCAGAATGAACGCGCCGAAACACTCACGATGCAGACTTTGGGGCTAGAGCATAATAGGGAAAAACACCATCTACATGAATAAATGCAGCTGAAAATCTGCTCTACATTGGTTCAGATGTTGCAGCAAATACATGCTACACAGCAAGACGGGCTGCTGCATGGATCAAGACTATGCTTTACGTCAAATGGCACACCACACAACAATGGCAAGAGACTTTGGGATCATAATTCATTTCCATGGTCTAAGCGTTGGTGACTATCCGGCTTAAGAGAGAACGATAGATTTCTCAATTATGCCAACGGGGAATATATCGCTATCATGCTTTCCAGATTGTCCATCCTACGCCAGGGCTTGCAGAAGCAGCAAAGTGGCTAATACTAAGCAAAAGAGATGGGCAAAAACAATGGGTTCAGTCCGTTATATGTGAGGCTTCGAAAGGCTAATGAATCATCGCTACGTGGCATGGTGGGAGGCTGTGCTTTTGAAACCCCATACAGCACGTTGGGAAAAGAGGACAGCCTCCCTGCCCGTGACAACGTTAAAGTATCGCCCAATTGGGTGATGTCAAAGATGTAGGCTCACGGTTTCGCGTACTGTTGTGTCCATTCTTGGGCCGTCTGAATAGCCTGATTCTTATTCTCCTTCCACGCCTGGGCGACATCGTTCGCAAGGGGATCGTCCGGGTTGGGCGCGCCCAAAAGAGCTTGGATCGAGAGCAGGATCGTACGAATCTGGAGGGCAGGCGACCAATTACCTAGGCATGTTAGCAAAGCCTTGGTATTGTGAAGTATGACTCCAAACTTACTTTTCAGAACATCAAGGCAGATGCGGCCCAGACGATCGATGTTAGGGTGATAGATCTTTGTGAGAAAGCGGACCTTGGGCGGCGTCATGGGGTAGTCATCTGGGAGAAATAGCTCCAACTTGAAAACACCGCCTACGAAGGGTTTATCAGTTGAAAACTTCAACACTACTGGGCACCAGCATACCCTCATAAGGCGACTGGCTAGGGCCGTCGATGGTAACATCGAAATACCTCAGATTGTCGTCGTGCGGCGTCGCGCTGATTCCTTGCACACTATACAGGGACCCCAGATCAGTAAAACAGCACGGCATCCCGTCGGGAGTACCTACGGCTCGTTGACCAGGCGCTCGGTTTCCTTGATGATTCGCTTGGGCAGCGCCATAGCTGATGGTGGGGCAGGATACCGCTTGCGTAGAGCGAGAGGTTGTGAAGGGCGAGGGCTCGTGTGGGGAAAGCGAATATGCTCTTCGGTACCAGCAAAAGGTGTAGAAGTCCTCTTTTTCTGCGTTTGGAGGAGCAAGCCTGTGTCGTCTGGTCTTGGGCAGGGCCAAAGGGCTAGACATGCATGTGTGATGTTGCGTAATCGGCCAGCGGCGCTAGAGACGCCTGGACAGGGGAACCACTGCCTGCTCCATTACCACCGTCGTCACGACTACACGCGCATGCCCGAGACGGCCAGCAACAAGATGGCGGCCACGGCGGGCGGGCCTCTATCAGCGTTCCAGTCGCCGACGTTTGATCGCGATGTCGAGGTCAAAGTAGATGATGAGATAGGCGCTGCCAGCATAAGCCCAGCAGGCCGCGACATCGTCCTTGCCAGCAAGAGCGGCCTCCGCATCATTGACTTGGACAATCTTTTTTCCTTACCTCGTTTCATTCCAAACCAATCGTCGTGGGATGTCGCTGATGTGCAGTGGTCACCCTTTGCGGCACGCGCAGAATGGATTGCTACCACCCGCAATCAGCTCGCGCTCGTATACAATCTCTCCATGCCGTACAACAGCAAGAAAGCACCCATTGAATACACGCTACGCGCCCATGAACGCGCCATCACAGATATCAATTTCTCTGCCCATCATCCAGACTTGCTCGCGACATGTGGAGTTGACAGCTTCATCTTCATACACGACCTTCGGAGCAGGCAAGCCCCGTTGAAGCTTGCCGACTATACTGCTGGAGCAACCCAAGTCAAATGGAATCGCCAGAATGACAAGATTATTGCAAGCGCCCACGACAAGTACCTCCACATCTGGGACACTCGCCATGGAGCGACTCCCCTCTCGACCATTGCCGCTCATACCACCAAAATCTACGGTATTGACTGGAACCGCAACGACCCAAGTAAAATCATGACATGCTCTTTGGACGCGACCATCAAGCTTTGGAGCAATGTAGGCAGGTCTGATCATATCACTGTACCCCGGCGCGTCATCCGCACTCATTATCCTGTATGGCGAGCGCGACATACGCCCTTTCCTCATGGCATTCTTGCCATGCCGCAACGAGGCAATTCGAACCTTTGGCTGTACAAGCACGTCAACGATAGCGATGCATCAACCTTTAATAATGAGCCTGTTCACGCCTTTCAAAAACACGATTCTGATGCTCAAGTCCGCGAGTTTCTATGGCGTTCGCGTGGCTCTACTGACTACGGCATTGACAACCGTGACTTCCAGTTGATTTCTTGGGGGACTGACAGGCGCCTACAACTTCATCACCTCGATCCCAAGCTTCTCGAAAAGGCTGTCGGCTATCGGAAAGGCGAACGGCTTGTCGAAAAGCCCAGTGCGACGCGTAAAGGGGCTTCCTATGTATCCTATCGCGATGGTCCTATTCCCACCACTACTGCAGGTGATCGGGACCACTTTGGTCCACCACGCCAACAACGGAAAGGAAATTTGTCAACGTTGTTGCAGAACTACTCCCTCAGCGAAGACGTTCATACCTCTCGCTTTCCTGGACAAACACACGCCAAGATACATCCAGAGATAGTGCAGAGAGAGACCATGACTGCCCAGCCCATCCGCAGAAATGACCCACGTGTTGTTAACCACATCACTTGGATCAACGGAGTTAAATTTGGGGGTGATCGCCACAACAATGTCAATGACATTCACGCTCGACCCAACCAGCAGGATCTTGGCGAGAAGTACCCGTACCAGGAACAGAACGACCTCGGTGCCGAAATATCATACGTCGGCAACAAGTACAAGAAACTCGCTTTTGAAGAGATTGATGTGCCGGGCCGCTACATCAAGGTTTCGTTCAACGGGCCCTGGGGTGACTACGATCCCGCAACTGATGGTGCAAAGCTTGTGTTTCTTCGATTTACTATCAGGTTTCCGTCTGCTTATCCCAAGGCTGTTGAAAACGGACAACCCGATTCCATTCACCACAGGATACCAACCCCACTAGACATTGAATTTGAGAGGACAACAGCATCCATCAGCAAGGAACACCAAGAAGAACTAGTCCATAATATGCATCGCATCGCAGCTACCTGTGCTGAGCAGGAATGCGAGGCTCTGGAAGCAGTACTCTCATATGCTTTGGGAGAGCGTGCTTTGGACGACAGCCTGGACCTGGGCGAAGACGTTGAGCCACTCGAAGATCTTGGACCCTTGCCGGGAGAAAGCTCCAGCGAAGACGAGGATCACGAGGGCGAGTTTACTGATGATGTGATGCAATCTTCTCATATGAATGCTGACATTCCCCTTCCCATTCAGTGTACTGCCCGGTTCTCAGCCGATGGGTCCCTTGTGGTTGCAAGGATACCACCAGTAAAATCAACGCCTGGCTCAGAGGTGTTCAGATTTCAAATTGCGAGAAATCTTCGCCAAAGTGGCGTGAAGAACGATATCTTTGACTCTTTTGGTCGCTTTACTTCCCGTCGTGCTGAGGATTCAGATGGAGCGTCTTCTCCGTCCTCTTCTGTTGGCTCTTGGGAAACTTCTTCCACTCCATCGTCTTCATCTGGCTCTGATCATGACGGGAATGCACGTATTGGCAATTTCCAGCCTCCCCTGGCTTGGCAGAAATCTATTTCTCGCTTTCAATCACGGAACTCGCTACCTTCTTCGGGTGGTGTGGCAAAGCAGCCATCCAAGACTAAATCGACAGTGTCTATCCTGTTCTCTGCTACGGACGACATGGTTCCAAGCAAGCGTGTACTTGCGGAAGAATACCGAATTTTTGGTCCTGGGCCCATCATTTGCGAGCACAACTCTGAGGTAGCAAGAAGAAACGGATTCGAGGATCTTGCCGATATTTGGATGCTCTGTAAACTAATTTTGAGCAATGAAGTGCCCGTGGAGATACTTCCTCAACAATACCGGAGAGACCAGGTCCTTGTGCTGGCCCGAAGGGCTCTGGTAAGGATCAAACGTAAGGATAGTGGCCTCGACCTCGCGTTTGACGAGTCAGAAAGCGTGACTAACCCTCAGCTCAATGCTCGGGTCAAATGGGGTCATCACCCGATCGTCACTTGGCTGATACCTGCACTTTTTGACTACTTTGAACGCCTGGCTGATGTTCAGATGCTTGCCATGTTGTCTTGCATATTTGCGGAGCCTGCTACACGCGAAGGTGTGACCTCAGCCATGGCTAAAATGCGGCAATCCCAGCTCCCTATGTCTATGGAAGCACCAGCGTTCTCCCTAGATTACTTCCCCTCGTCCGACGCGGCATGGAGTTTGTTCAAGCCCACGATTTCCATCCCACCTACGCCTTCGTATTCGCGCTTTGCAACCCCGGTCAACGAATCTGGGTCCCAGAGATCGATTAAGAATCTTGATGTATACGGAAGTCATGGGAGTTCAAACGGGCCATGGAGTAGCGACGCATTCCATTCGGACCCCGTTACACCCTACTCGACTGGCAACACGCCACCTCTCTTGTCACAAATACCTCCGATTAGAAATGCTCATACAGCAAACCACACTCCATATGGAACATCGCCAGAGAATAACCACACAGCTCATAAGAAGAGCTCGACTGCAAACTTTGCGAGTGCTGTAGCAGCGTTGTCACGGCCTTTTTCAAACGCAATGTCTTCTTCACCTCCGGTCAGATCACGGATCGAGGATCTCTCTACATCTGCGCCGACTAGTGGAGTGACTTGGGGAACAACGACATTCTATGGTAGTGACTCTCACAACCAAAACAGCATGGCAGCCCCACGCACAAAGCAAGGAAAGCGCGCAAGCTTCGGACAGTCTGAGCACGTCGATATCAACTACATTGGCGAATCCGACTCGGACTACGAAAAGGTGGATGATGAAGGCAGCTATGCTACGGCAGGTGTCAAAGAACGCAATGTGCCCGGCACGCCTCGAGAGGGCGATGGTGGCAGGGCTATCAAGGTCACACTCAAAAATCAAGACCAGTTCGATGACGAGGCATGCTTCAGTCGGCCGTTACTAGATGCAAGTAAAGATTGGTTACATCGTGTCTGGCGAGAGCAGTATGCTGAAATGCTGAATCGGTGGGGTCTAGTCAGTGCTCGAGCTGAAGTACTCAAGTTTAATGGGCTTGTTTCGTACTTTCCAGTAGAGTATTCTCGTACCAGCTCAAAGTCGGGCTCGATATCGCTCGCGATCAAACGGTCTAGCGATGAAGAAGAAGAGGAGGACGAGAAGATAGCTCAACGTGTATCAAGAGCTTCAACAACTTTAGTGCCTCCAACGCCCACTACGGTGCAATCGAAGCGCCTATCTGCTGCATCTCCAAAGCACTTCTCCTTCAATCCAGAGGCTACAGAGTTCCAGCCCAGCACCATAACAAACATCCTGTCAGAAGAACAGATAGCGGACCTGCCCATGGATGCATTCATTCCTCCGGAGCAATACTTGCGTCTCTCGATACCAGTTCGCACGCCCACTGCAGAGCTTGACGAGAGCCTTGCTGGACTAAGCACGTCACCTGCTCAGTCCAAACTGCAACCACCCCCGAGCCGGTCCAGCAGACCAAGTCTCTCACGAGGCACATCCAACGTCTCCGGCGGCTCATCGTGGCGCGAAAGTCGCCCAGCCCCAACCGTCAGTACTGAAATATCCAAGCCCGCAGAGGTAGAACCCACGTACAGCTGCAGCATTTGCTGGATCCGCGTCTCAGGCCTCTTCAACCTATGTCCCGCGTGCGGCCATGTCGCACATATGGACTGCATGGGTGACGAAATTGGCATCGACGAAGGCGAATGCATTGTCGGCTGCGGCTGCGGCTGCGGTCTCGAAGACGACGACGAGCGCTCCAGAATGGAAGCGTACATTGAGGGTGTCCGCGCCGCACACGCTGAAGGCAGCGCCTGGGAAGACGGCAGTGAGTGGATGCCCAGCGGCACCACGACGCCTGCGCTGTATCCTGAGAGCGCGTACGGCGATTTCATGACGGGCGGCGCGAGTAAGATGATGGGGAGTGGGGATAGGAAGAGGGATAGAGCGACCGGGGTGGGGCGCAGAGATGTGGTGAGTCCTACGCCTACTAAGACGAAGAAGAAGAGTAAGAAGAAGGTTAGGGCTTCGGGGTTGAGTTATTATTGAGGTTGAGGGAGCGCCTTTTTTTTTTGTCTTCTTCTCTTCGTTCCGTTTTCTTTCTTTCTTGGAGTTTTGTGGTTTATGCGAGAAATGGTGGTGTTGTATGATTACGCAGAGTTGATACCCCCACCCAATGATGTATACATTTGCCATGGGCCATGTAATACAACTGCAACGTTTTGATTTCTTCTTCTTGTCTCTTCTTCTTCTTCTTCTTCTTTCTCTTTTGTTACGGACTTCCCCTTTCCCTTTCCACGATTTCACATGCTAACGGGGTTCAGCAACCACTAATGTGATACATTTTGTGTAATAAGCATTTTCTTTTCTCGACAGATGCAGAGACCCTGTTATGGCGTGCTTCTCAGAAAATCTGGACAAGTTTTGCCTGTGGTAGTGTGTGTTTCCAACGAGGCAAAGGACAATGAGAGTAAAGGTTTGGGAGATGGAGGCTGTGAATTATACACACATAAAGTTCATGGTATTTCTATCTCAGTCGGGAATCATCAAGACTAGCCACAAATGATATCACCATTTACTCCTGAAATGCTACCACTGGGTTGATGATGATGATGATGATGACGAACATGAATGAATTTTAACTTATTCTTCATCTGGCCCACTTGCTCTCTTTCAAAGAACAAAGGGCAACAAAAAAACGTCCCCCCGTGATCTCCTCGCTCACGTCCAAGTCTGTGAGCCCCTTTCCAACAACCCACCACTTACTTCAGCGCCTTCTCCGCCTTTTGGGCAGTGTTCTTCAAATCCTGCAACTCACCCTTTGCCTGACCCTCTGTGTTCTTCAAGCTCTGGTTGTAGAGATAGATACGACCGACCTGAGTCGCACCGACGCAGAAGACGAGGAAGTTGACAGCGGCAAGGGCAATGTTCTTGGGGCGGATGACGAAGCACCAGCGGGTCCAGATGGCGCCTGTACACATGAGGGCGAAGTTCTGGGTGAAGGAGAGGGATTCGGCTGGACGGGAGAAGTCGGAAGCGCCGGCGAGGACCATGCCCCATTTCATTACTGGAGCCCTGCAGAAAGTATCAGTACATGTTGACATTTGTGTGCTGTGTTCGTGTTTGGCAAAAGGGGTGCGTTTTGGTGAGCCGTCACTTGCGCACGCGACGCTTCGGACATTGCGGGGGTGGAAACTTCGAAACCGCAATCTTCCCAAAAGAAAAAAAGTGCATTTGTCGCAAAGAATCGAAGGCTACGGGAAGGACGAAGCGGGTGCGTACCAGAAATGCACAGTCTTTGGGCCGATGGGACTGTTCCAGAACTTTTGGAAGCCAGCGGGCTCAGCGCCGGCAGCCGTGTTGACTCGTCGGCGGGCATTTGCGCGTTGGAAGAAAGGTCGGAAGGAGCTGAAGATGCGGGAGCCGGGGCGGAACGACATGATTGCTGTGTATTCTGTCCCTCTCGCTCTATTGTCGGGAAAGGAAGAGTCGGGGTGTTATCCGGAGAAGGGTGAGTGAGGTCCGGGAGCAATTGACAAATGCTGAGGTCGTTTGTCGTTGGCGGCGATGTCGGGCCTGAGGGTTCGTCAGATGGGACAAATCCGGGATTAAACAATGGCGCTTCGTTGCTCCGACGGTGTTAGGCCACTTTAGGTATAGTGCGTTCCTGGACGGGGGCGCCAGCTCGACGAACATTGAATGTCGGCGCGGGCGGGCGCTTTTGGACGGTGACGACACCTCCCTCCAATTGATACCCTTCACGCAAACAATCTTCCCGCCCACATTTCTCGCAATGGCCTCGAAAGCATTTGGAAATGGGCTCAAGGAGCTGCGCTTCCTGTTTTGCCAGACTAGCGAGCACAGCGCTGCGACAAGGTATGCGCCTTCACGATACAAGATATTTTGAGCGAGCGGAGTCGCAAGCGCGATTGCGCATGACGGGGTGGTTGGGAATGAGATTTTTAGCTGACGAAATAATACAGAAACTTCCTTACCCGAAGCTATCCCGCTATGAAGAAGGCCAACCCGTCGATTCCCATCATGATCCGAGAAGCTAGCGGCACCGAGCCCACAGTCTTTGCGAGATTCGGTGCGTAGAAACGTAATTGGAGGAGAGAGAAGGGCAAGGAATGCTAACTACGGTTTACAAATCTAGACTTCGGAAAGGAGAGGAAGTTGGCGCTCAAGGGCCTCGACGACAAGGCCATTGAGCAACAAGTATCAGACCTGGTGCAGAAGGGCGCATGAGGATATGATTGGAAAAGCAAAGAAGGAACGACTCAAAGGGACGACTATTACATATGATTGAATTCAAGGAAGCCACTATAGGCTATTTCTCTTTGCATCCGTCCTGATACACCANCTCTCTCTCTCTCTCTCTCTCTCTCTCTCTCTCTCCATCACATCCCTACTCACATACCCCACTCGCTCGTTGCCCAAACCCCATCGAGTCTATAATCCGCCCCTCCCACCCCCCAGTCCCTTTTTTTCGTACGCTCAAGCCATAGCTACGTCGAAATTTTTGAATCAAACTTTCACATGCAGGATCGCGTCATACGTTTTAGGCTGGTCGCACAAGTTTTGCAGGGGGTATGTGCGTGTGTGTTTGCGTGTGTGAGAGAGAGATGATTGAATGGACATGTGATCGAGTGGACCATTGTGACGAGTGTTTCCTCCTATCATGGGTGTGCGGATGGGTAAGGTTGCAGCCGTGTAGGGTTTAAGGGGGTTACGTATGCGTTACTGATAGCATGCCGTGATTTGTGTTGTTGTTGATTGTGTGTGTGTGTGTGTGTGTGTGTGTGTGTGTGTGTGTGTGTGTGCGTGAGCTGGGAGATTGAGATTTAGTAGAGGTGTCTAAATAGTTTTTGGTCATCTTTGGGGGGGGGGAAGAAGGGGTGCGGTGTAGTGATTGTTAGGACAGTGTTCAGCTGATGCGCTAGCAATTTTGGTCTCCCAAAATGATTTCGAAACTACTTTTAATTGCTGACTTGGTTGCTCAGTGTTGTATTCACAATCTTTCACCTCACCTGACCATCGTGTTTTTTTCTTTTGCAATTTAACTTTCAATAGTAGGACAAGTTCATGCAACTCAGGTACGGAGACGTCAGAGGGCCCAGCTTCCATGATTTCCTATCTAGGCATAGACTATTTTGTCATACCTATCTCTTCGGGAAGCGGCGTTCCAAGCGAGAGGGGTATTCGGAAATGTCGATGTGTTTTTCCTTTCTTTGGACTAGCTAGCCTTGTATTATGCAGGTAAATGGAAGGAAAATTGCCGAAATTGGTACTACATGGGGTTGCGTACTCCCGATGCGTCTTGATCCCGCACATTGATCGAGTTTGAGGAGAAGGTTGTTTGTGGCGGAGAGAAGAGAAGAAAGAGATTGTGTATCGTAAGAGCTATCTAGTGTGGCTTGCTGAAAGTACATATTGAAATGACCCAATTGCGTAACGTTCTGGAGACAGTTTCATCGCTACTGCAACAGCAGGTTCTAAAACATTACTTTTTCTGGCAAAACAGGTTATTTCCGGCAACCTGTCAGATCTTGTGATCCATTGAAAGGTGTTACTGAACGCCCCCTGGGCCTGCCGAACTATCATTGACCTTGAATACGTATGACCCATTACGCCCAAACGCCAATCGGGTGGTTGATTACAATGGATAATATGATGATTCTGCAAATCATCCAAGCAAAATCTCCCAGTTCCAGTCCTTCATGACTCCTAGCCAATGCAATCGTCCCTTGACTGTAACCTCTGGGTCCATTGAACTCAAATGGGAATTTGATGTTTGCTCCCACTGCCGTGTGTCTCTCCAGTTGAGCTCGTCCATCAAGTCAAACTCGTCATTTCGCATAGGTGTATATGACGAAAAGCTTTGCGCGCACTTGTCATCCACTTGCATGGCCATGCGCTCTGCGGCAGATGCGTCTCGTCGACTCCATACTTCTTTTGTGACTTCCAAACACCGTTCTATGATTCCCAACTTCATGCGTGAAGACATGAGTTCCCAGCGGGCTTTGACCCATTCACGCTCCTCGGGATTGGTGGCCTCGCAGCCAGCTGCCATGAGGGGGTAGATGTGCACAATGATTGATCGGGAGCGCGGGTCAACTGTCGCTAAGTCGCACAGAACCTTCTTTGCCAGCGCACTCGAAGACTGTGACGGAATCTCCGGAACAGCCTGGTGCAGATACAATAGCGTTGCATTTTGGTAGGCGATTGCGGTTTTTATCGTGTCATGCGGGCTTGTTGTTTCGTCCTCGGGGTCTTCGATGAAGGAAGGTGGGGCCCAGTCTTCGAGCTGGTACTTGAGCTGCATAGCCTGCGAGATGATTGTTGGTCCATTGTTGTTGGACCTTCGCACCTTCCTGACAAGATTTGCCACGCGACCAATAATCGGGAACAGGGTGTGCGCACAGCCCATCAACGGGTCAAGGGTCGTGTCGGTCTCGCCGGTGCCGTAAATGCTTTCTTGAACAGTGTCGACATCGTATGTCTCATCTTCGTCGGTGGATGTCAAGCGAGCAAGGACGTCCATGTAAATCCAGGCGTTGCAAAGGAATTTCAAGCGAGCCCACTCCTCACCCTTCATGGGTGTTAGGCGATGTTGTATCAGTGCTTGGTTGATCAAGACCTTTGCGCCCTTGATGTGGTTGATGCCTGTGCTGATATGTTGGTCCCACGACTCGGCAAAAGCCAGTACTAGGGTGGTGGAGATGGCTGCATCGACACGCATGTTTGGTAGGCCTGCAGCCAGTGCATGAACTGCACTTCGCATATGATCGATTCCTTGGATGCGCAGAATGGGAATGTCCTTGGACTGATGAAAAGATGTCATGGAGACGATTGCGTGATAAAGGGCAGGACATTCTCGTGTCAGAGGCCATATCAAGGTTCGCCATGGATTCTCGGTTGGACCATCTTTGACAGACAGCACGCCGCATGTGTCGCGATGGTAGCGACGTGACAAAGACTCTGCTGAAAAGGAAGAAAACTGTATTTGAGCAGGTATTCGGCAGGTAGGAGAGTCTGATGAAGATGTGCTTGAGCTGGATGATGCAGGCGAGGGCAGTGGCAGAACCCAGTTTCCCAGATCTTGGCGAGCGTAGCACACTAGTTCTTCGTTATCGTCGTCCTGGTCGGTTGGGGCTGGTGGAGTTAGACCAGTGGGCTGGTAGAAGGCTTCATGCTGAGTTAGGAACGACGAGTATTCTTCTGGTGGCACACTGAGGTCTGTTCCCGGCATTAGAAGATCTACAAGACGGGGTGATTGACCAGACAAGATGCTGGAATCGGCCGTCCCCTGGGATTGTGCTGTGCTTGTGCTGTCCGCCCCGAACGTACTGCATGATGCAAGAGATGCTTGTGCGTGTGAGTCGACGGGTGATGTCAACTGAGGTGCTGTTATGAAGGGTGATGCGGATGGGGCGGCGGACAAGTCTTCTGGTGGTTCGAATGAAGGTTGAGGGAATGATGGGCCTGTAGGTGAAGCATGCATGAAGTAGTAGGGCGGTTGAGGCTGGGGCAAATGTGGATTGGGGGATATACTACTAGTGAAATCATGTTGGTGGCCGTGGGTGCTGGTGTGGTCTTGGGGTGGTGAGTGGGTAGAGGTGGGTATGTGGTCTGCATGTGTTAGGAGGGGCTTGCCACTTTGATCGAGCAACCAACCTTTGCGTGACTTGGCATTTGATTTCCCCCTGACGATGGGCTCTTCGAAAGGCCTCCACTTGAAGTCTTTCTTGTAGCCACCGCATGGCACTACACGTCGCGCACACTGGTCGCAAGTGGGCTTCTTCTCATCACACTTCAAGCGCTTTGCTTTGCATGTGATGCATCCTGGGCAAAGGCATCAGCATGGTGGTTTGGCGGGCAAGGGCGACATGTTGGGTGTGGGTGACGAGGAGAAGAAGGGGAGAGGCAGGGCGTACCATTGCGGCTTTTGGTCTGCTTCCTCTTGTTGAGAAGAGCATTTGCAGGTGGTTGCGAGGACATGTTCTTGCCAGACTTTACGTCAGCTCGGGCATTCTCCGGGAGGACTAGTTGTAGTGGAGGGGCGGGATCAGCGGTAGGGTCCGCCGTGGGGTGGAAGGGACAAGAGAGCTGGGTTGCTGCACCAGCTTTGGGGCAGACTGTGTTTTGATATGCATTCACATGAGAGCAAGGTGCCTGCAAAGGTTGCAAAGAAGCGTGGCAGGATGGAAAGGCTAGGTAGATAAGCAGCACGGAGGGTTGGGGTCGCTAAAGTGGAGCTGAAGCTGGGGGAGGTGGGCAGCTACTTGGCTAGCGCAATGGCTATCAAGCGGGCTTGGGAACCAGTCGTGGGGAACACCAAAGTGAAGAGCATGGCAAGCCGGAGATTGCGGCTTGTGGTGTTGCCCAAGTCGATGGCACTGTGCTTGCGAGGCCTACGCGTCCATGTACTCGAGTCTGGCCAGGCGTGCGACGGCATCGAACAAGTCCAGAACGCCGTGCTGTTTGGGACGTGGTGCAGATGTGATCGCCGCCATCCTGTTACTAGAACCCTGCACTTGTCCGCCGGCCTGTTGAACCGCTCCACAAACGGCCCTCAGCCTCGTGCCGGAAGCGATGCGAGACGGGTGGAGGCGGCGCACGAGTGCGAGGGCTAGTACACGTACACACACACATAGCCAAGCAAAGGGGGGGACAGCAACCCAGGCCGGGTCCGTCTTGTGGGAGTCGGTGTGTATACATACATCATGTGCTGGCTATACGGCAGGATAAGTATACCGGCGATTCATGCTTGTGCGGCCATCAGGCGGCAGCCCGAGTCAGCGGCGTGTCCATCTCTATGGCTATCAACCAGAGTCACGTGCCAGGCCGCCCAATCACAGCCGGCCGCCTTCTCCTGCGAACCAAGCGACGGGGGACTCTTGGCTTTGCTTTTCACAACTCTTGTGCCGACCATCTGGACATGGTGCTTTAATTGGGCCGCGGGCACGAGCGATGCGCTTCCGCGTTCTAGAAACCGGGCACGGCTCTCGGTGGTGGGGACGTGGGTAGGTAGAGGCGAGCGGTCCGCAATAGCGTCATCAGCCAGTTGTGCCATAGACCAGGAGAGGCGCGTGTCGAGCAGCACAAAAGAGAACAAGAGGCGATGAAGAAGAAAGCATGTCCATGTCCACTACATGTCCATGTACATGTATGGCGCATTGTGCTAGTGCGAATACCAGAGGCATGTCAGACTGGCGTCGTGGCGGCGGCGGCTGTGCGAGAGCTGCAGCTAATGAGCGGACGTCATCTTCTGATCGCCCTGATGCGGCACAGGGACCGCGCAGCTGCATCCTCTCCACCCAACAGCCATCCAGGCCTGCTGCTCGCCTGCCAGACAGGGATATCTGCCATGCTTGATGTGCATGTGTGCAGCCCGCCTGTGGTGCCCAGCCCCTGCTCCCCTTATGTACTATATCCCCTCCGCCATGCACACTCGTCGTCGTGATTGTTGTTGTCGCCGTCGCTGTCGCTGTCGCTGTCGCCGCCGGTATGCTGCCGAGGCTGCACACTGACATGATGAACGACAAGCCAGGCCCGCTCACACGGAGGGCAAGCAAGAGACAGAAGATTGCCAACTTCTTCAAGTCATGGAAGCACCGCCAATCCCAGCCTCGCGACAAGACCATGGTACGCTGATTACCGCGCTGCTATGCCTTCTACCCACACACAACACCGGCCCGCTAATGTCATCTTCCCATCTGCAGGCACCCACCAAGCATGTCGACGACACTGGCCCGACCCCGCCACCCGTACACACCACCGCCCCCGACCATGGTAGCAATACCCCCGCCCACCATCCCGACCCCCATGGCCTGCAAACACCCAAACCTACTCCCACACCACAGCCACAATCAATCCCACTACCACAATCATCACCACCGCAAGACACTAGCCCGCACCCGACCGACCCCTTGACCGACACCCAGCTTCACGTCCTCTTCGCCGGCGCCCCGCAATTCCGGGTCGCAAAGGTCAACGGCCGCCGCAGCCCGACAGCCTCGTTTCCCTGGAGCGTTCAGGCTGCCACCAAGGACGCGACCGACGTTGCCCCTCTTGCTGAGCCTGCCTTCTCCGCTGCAACCCTGCACAAACACACACTCAAGGCCCAGCCCCTTGACGAGACCCCGAAAGAGTACAATGGATATGCAGTCGACGCGATCGAAACCCCTTCTATGCTTGGCACTCAGGGCATCGAGCCCGGAACAATTGGCTTCGCCCACTTTCTCGAGCTGCCCGAGTCCGATGTCCTCCTCAGCCAACCCCAAGCATCCCAATCAGCCGCCGATTCGCTCGAGGCGACCAAGAACAAGGAATTGCTGCACACCAACCCGGAGCGTCTAGGTATCCGTTCAGTCGACCTCCGCTTGATATACGACCGCTTGGGCGAATTTCAGGACATGTACGAGGCATTCCACGATAGCCCAGAGCCCATGACCATTCTCAACACCCAGACGTCTGGGGACCTGTACGCCAATTTGTTCACCAAGTTCCTGACACCCCCGGGTTACGACGGCTCTACCGACGATCCCACTGGAATGCAAACGCAGATTGCCGCCTTACTTAGGGTTCTAGACTTGAAGGGAATTTGGTACGATTTTAGCTTGGTCGAGTGGAGGATTAGGCTGGGCCAGATATTGTGGAGTGAACCAGAGCTAGTGCCCGAGCACGAGCACGACACGCAGCCCCTGTGGACTGAACGCGAGATTCTGCTCCTCCAAATCACATTGGCGTGCGAGCTACTACTCCGACTTGATGCCTACACAAACGCCGACGCCGCCGATGCCGCTGTCCGACTGCGCATCAACCCCCAAGATGTCGAAGCGTTTCTTCAATTCAAGACTCGAAAGATTGATTGGGATCTGGTCCTTGCTCGCACCTTCTTGGACAACATTGCTATCATGGGAGGCTCCCAAACGTCTCCCAAACCCAAGTCGGGTGGCTTGCTATCGCTGTTCGCTGAGAATGCCCACCACGAGTTGCCCCAATCAGACCTCATCTTGTTTCCGCAGCACCAGACGCGGCAGATCTCCGGCCTTCTGCACTTTGCCACTGTTATACAGTGGCCTGGCCTGGACGTCGTGTCCGCCCAACTCGTTCGCAAGTTGGCGCCACAGATCAAGAGCGAAGATGCCACACCATCATCCACAAGTGCAAGGTTGACGAGCCCAGAATCTCCTTCTGGCATCAGTGTATACGCAACCCCTTTACAAACTCCACCAGCCTCGAGCTTTCAAATGGAGAGCTACTTTGGGCAAACTTCAAAGCCAGCGCTAGAACGCAACAACTCTCGAGCTTTCCACATGGCCCTTACCCCTACCTTGCCAGCTCTCGAAGACCAGTCCACCGTCTTTGTGAACAATGTTGGTGGGTGGCTTAGCCGGTCATACCTCACGGGACTCGTCCTTCCTGGAGAGGCCATTTCGCACCTGCTCATTTCCACACTACTCGAGAATGATGAGATTGCCGTCGCCAACCTCGGTCACTCTGCCAATCTATATGGGGGGTTCACTTTCGCCGACAGGACTTTCTGGAGCAAGAATTCTATCGTTGGGCGCATCTTAGCCTGTGTAAAGGGTTCTGCGGAGTGCATGGGCTGGGTGTCTTGCCCAAAACTGCCGGAGAATCCAGCTGAACGCTGGTACTCTATTCACAGTGAGGTTCTTCCCTACGAAAACCGCGTGCAGGAAAGAGACGGTTCCGATGTCGTCGCACGAGACTCTGCAATCGTACCTGGAGATTCTACTCCTTCTGCCAAGTCAGAGGACTTTGTGCTTCCCCGGGACCTCGACCCGACGCCGACCTCTTCTCTTGGATTTTCACAATGGGAGCTCGTCCCAATGAACGCCGATCTCATCGATGGCGACAGCTTGACAGGACCATATTCTGAGAGCGATATACACTCTCCAGCTATGACATTTGTTTCAGCCGACGGGTCGGCCAGTCATACACTAACGCTTGCCTACGATATTCAGTTTGTAACTTCGTGGCCATGCACACCAGCAGCATCTGGGCCCGCATCTACACACCGACCAAGGGTTCTAAGACGCTCCGTCACAGGGACGTTGTCAAGATCTTCATCTAAGCACAGCGAAACCATGTCGCGCCGCAACAGCCATGGCTTCGAGCCACTACTGTCACATCCACCAGACGCTCCTACCAACGAACCAAAACGCATGTATGATGTACCCGACGAAGCGGCTGGCGAAGGAATCGCAACAGGCAGCAAGCCTCTGGATGCGCATTTGCTCCACAAATTGTATTCGTACAAGATTATACCCGTGACAGACATTCTGGATCCAGACTTCCTCCTCCCCTTTGAGCTGCACACGTCAAAGTCGAGCGAACGCATACTCGCCCTGTCCCAGAGTGATTATAGCGAAGCAGACACGATCCGCGAGACCAAGAAAGCAGTGCTTGTCCTCGACGCCCGCGCATCCTGGGATCTCGAAGTTCTCGCTCGAGCTTGGTGCGCCGAGAGGGGTCTCCATGCTTTGGTCAGCCGTGTGGGGAGAACGTGTCTTGCCTGTTCAATTCGTGAGGCAAGGGGCTTGGGGATTCACATTGTTATAAGGGTTTAGAATGGATGGAGATGAAGGCTATTCTTTTCGATTTTACCTATTATTGATTTTTTTTTTAATCTGGGCTTTTTTTGGGCAACCTAGCGTTTGCATGTTAATTATGCAAGATACCCCGTGTTTCTTTTCTTCGTTTTTTTCGGTGCAAANTTGATTTTTTTTTTAATCTGGGCTTTTTTTGGGCCCCCCCCCCTTCCCAAGTTAAGAATGCAAAATCAGCCGTGTTTCTTTTCTTCGTTTTTTTCGGTGCAAATCGACTGTACGTTTTGGGAGGTTGTGAAAGAGGTGTAGGTAAATAATCCATCTCTGTGGCTTTGTGGGCATGACACATGCTGTCACATGCGCAAATTCGTACCACTTACTGGCTGGAGATTCTCCTGACCCTCATTGCGCCCGCATTCATTTTTTTATTTTGCCGCGCCCGCTCCCTGTCCTTCTCCTCAACCTTGCCTCTTTTTTTTTCGTATTCCGCTTCTATGAATAACACCATGAGGCGTTGCAGCTTTTCCCTTACTAGAAGTAGAGCGAGGCTGTGTTGAATTTAATTTGTGGCATTGCGCTGGTCGCCTTGTGTACGCAGTCGAGGGGAAAAAATGGGTTGGGCCCCCCCGCGCGCGCTCAGTGCCAGTAGTAAAAGTAGTGTGTGCTAACGAGCCTTTAATCAGGGGCCATGCGCTGCTCGCTGCCCCAAGGAGAGAGAGAGATATGAACTTTAGTTTCACATTACGTACCCTCTTTTTTTTTTTGATTTCCCTGACACCTTGACGCCAATTTTTATTCTTTTCTCATCGGAGATTATTTTTGCTTTCAACAACGTCATTGATCACGGAAGTTTGTTAGTTTCGCATGCTTGCTGGTATACTTGCGACTCGAACTTTTTGTTGTTATTGTTGTTGTTGTTCTTTTTTTCCAGGGGCGACTTATCGTTTTTCGATCTGCACAACAGCTACCAACGCCTGATCACGGGCATTTAACGACACGCAAACAGCATCATCTCATTAAACCCATCACCATCACTCATCACCCGTGTTACTGGGATCTGGGGTTATATCGAATATCACCATATCAGCAAAATCTCACACCTCCTCCGCCTTCCAAAAAAAAAACCCCCCCAAAAAAGAGATCGGGAAACGGGGGAAACGCCACAAATAGCCAACCCAAGACAAAATGAACTACGCACCCATGGACGAACCCGCCACCGAGCTCGAGGAATCAGGCGGGCCGGTTGGATCAAGCCGCCAGGAAGATTGCTGTTCGCGCTGCATCAGGAACTTTGATTGTACGCTTGCGGGGCCCTGGTGCATCGAGGCGTGGGTAGCGTGCTTTTCCATCATTGGGCGGTGTTTTAGCGAGGCCTTGGGTTGTTGTGGTGAGTGTGCTGATTGTTGTGATTGTTGTAGGTGAGAGAGAGGGGGGGAAAGGAACGAAGGAGGGATATGTGGACTCAAGCATTTTGAGGGGATGGGAAAGGCATGGGTTTTGCGGCGCCATTGGGTTGTGCGAAACTCGGCGATGCGGGTTTTGCTGCTGGTACTCGACGATTGGAGTGTGCTTCGCTCCTACGGCTCGAGGGGCGATGTGTTGGTGCATCGCAGGTGGAGCGGTGTCTACAAAGCGGATGGCGTATATATACGTCGTTCAGTCCAACTCCCCTCTTCTCAAGCACTTGCGCCGTTGCTGCTCTGCCAAAAAAAATCGAGACGGGAACAGCGCAAATCACACTCGCCCACAACGACCATACTCGACAGGGAGATACTCAGGGTCGGGCCAAACAAAATATCAACTTTCAAGGAGATTCAACGTCCATATCTCGAAAACGAACACCATTGACACAATCTGCTATCCACAAAACCCATATCACAGAAACCAATCAATTGAACCACCAGCAATAAAGGCTGCATCTGACAAAAACTACCCCAAACTCGAATTCATAACGAATAACTTCTTAGCTAGCGAGCGTACACATATCCAAATATGACGATTACAAATATATCAACAAGAAAGGGAGGCTTTCCACACCAAACAAATGCCATCAATTTTCATACATGCATGCAGATGTGAGATGCGAAGAGAGGAAGCAAAAAAAAAAAGTGTTACAAAAACGAGGGTATATAGAAAGCCAAGGGTATCTCATGCTATAGGCTTTGAATCTTGAGCGAATAGTGAAGCAAAAAGCGAATGCAAGTTGTGTAGACTCGGAAAGAGGTAACAATGCTTTGAAAAAGAAAAAAGAAAAAAAACGAACAAGTGAAAAGAGAAATAACGTATCGATACTCGTTGTTTGTAAATGGCCCGATATATTCGCCGGATACGATCTTTCTTTTTTATGCCTGTCGGCTAAGCAACAGCTCCACCGCGCAGTCAACTCTGAGCCCAGTCCCGAGATCTGTCATGCGCAGCGCCTCTCTTGCTTGCTCGGGCGTAAATCCCATTTCGACGATGCGGTAGATTGCTTTTTCGGCAGTGTGCTCGTGGCTGGCGCTCGAGTAGATGGAGTGCTGGCGCTCGTGCTGCTGGAAGATTGCGCTTCGGGGGCTGGCGGATGAGCTGAGGTCGCTGTCGCGGCTCTCTTTGCGTTGATGGAAGACTGGATGATTGGGTCGGGCTTGTATGGGGGATAGAGGGTGGTGAGAGGGTGCGTCTTCGAGAATGGGGGGCATCGAGATGCCTGTGCCGCCGGCTTGCCAGTCGCGTGTGTTGGATGCTGTTGTGGTTGAGGGGGTTGGGAGGAGAGGTTCGGCAATCATGCGGCGGGGCGGTGAACCAATGCTAGAGATGGCATCCAGCGTGTATAGGTCGCGGTTGCTCTGGCAGGTGGATATTGATGGGGACGGGAGAAGAGGCCTTGCTGCTGTTCTCCATTGAGGTGACACTATATTTTCTTCATTGCATGGCAGGCACGAGACCACACTATGTTGGTCGAGAGCAGCTATCGTCGAGGGAGCTGGGGTCGGTAGCAGCGGTCGAGCGACTATCCTTTGAGTTGGTGAAGGGGTTCTTGTTGCTGGGAGCTCCGATATGAAGCAGCCTTCGTTGGGAAGTGATACTGATGATTTAAGACCAGGCACATGAGTGATAATATCGCCTATCGGGCCTTGTTTAGGAATCGGAGGACGAGTCAAGTTCCTGAGGACTGTATCCCAGTCCGACATGGGTCGTTCTTGCGACATGGAAATCATCGGGCCAGTTTCGCCGCTTATCTTGCGCTGATGGAGCTCGTTGATATGCTTTTGGATACGCATCTTGGATTGCTCGCGCTGGACGTCGCGGGTAGAGATCTTTGCGTAGGTATTTGCTATCTTGTCTTCGTAGATGCGAGAAGCAGCTTCCCGGAGAAACTTGCGGCGAGTGTTTCCGGGAGTCGGAGGCTTCCAGTTGATCCAGCCGTTCTCAGCAGCAATGGTGAAGCCTTTGGGGTCGGAAGGGTGGTAGGGTCCAGTTAGTTTCAGGACAGCGGCTGGACCAAACGTCATAAGGTAGTAACACCATTCATCTGGACGAATTAGCTATTGAGCAGGTCTGAAAACGGACTAACATACCGAGCATCATCTCTTCGCCATCAATATCTCCACCTCGAATTTCTGTATCGTCGTATATTCCTGCTTGGCGTGCTTGGACTGTTCGGCCTTCGAAGCTTTGCAAGAGCACTCCTAAGCAGTTCCACAACTCCATAATGTCAAAGAGCTGCTCGGCACTGAGCCCGCCTTCGTTACCCTTGCCAAAACTCTCAGAAGCGCCGACTAGCGTGTCATTCATGAAATCCGTGCCTGAAATGCTGAAAGTGCAAGTTTCCTGATGGGCTATTGTTCCTCCGTTTAGCCAGTCCATCTGCGCAACAACGTCATCCTCTCGGCCTTTGCCTGAGCCGAAGATTGTGCAAAATGACCAGATGCGCCATAACGCATCATCTACCCTAGCTGATTCCGATGGGTTCGTGCTCATGAGCGCAACCGATATCTCTGGTCGCACAAACGACTGGCACTTTTCCAAAATCTCCAGCTTGATGGCGCGGATCACTTGAATGTCTTGTTTCTGGAGCTGCAGGTACGACGTAGGAGAGTATTCCTCTTCGGGCCGCGTCATCTCGAGATCGTGTGCATGCAAACTGTCATGGCCCGGGAATGCAATTTCCCGGAATTCCCATGCTGGAGGGGACATGGCTCGAAGAGTCGACTTGATGAGGCCAAGTTCGTGGCGTTTGAAAACTCGGTAAAAGCCATGGTTGACAAAAGCAGCAGCGAAAAGATCGTCAAAGTGACTGAGGTTCTGCAAGATGTTCAGGATGAGAGACTCGGCTCCAGCGGGGGAGATGATCGGGTCGGTAGTATTTCTTCCAGCCGCGTTGGCATCGTTCCGTGGATTTGAGACCTGGGACAGCACCATGTCTGCGCTTGTCCTTCTGTACTTTGGGATTATGAGCGTTAGCGTCTTGCTCGCCTTGGAGCGCTCTCTGCGGACCTGCGAAGCAATGTGGTTGTGTGGAAGGCGAGATAATTTCATGTTCCTATTCGCTGGTTGGCGTTTACTGGATTTGCGAGGCAAAGGAGGCGGAGCACTGAGATCTTCACTCGGTGCCAATTCTGTGAGAGACATCTGTACATTGTCGCCCTCAGGTGAAGGTTGACGTGCATTCCACTGGAAAAGATTGCCTTCTGCAAGGGGGGTCCTATCTTGATCAAGTTCCGCCCCAAGGTCGCCAATGCTCTCAAACGAAGCCAATTGCTGATGCAGGTCGCATTCGGCCTCGCTAAGAGTGGGGCTGCAAGGCCCTCGCTCGATGACCGACGAATGCCTGGTCTCGCTGTGATGAGTGGCTTGTGTCTGTAAGACGAGACGCGGGCTCGGGGCTGGACGTCGCCGCGGACTATTCCGTTTGGATGACTTGTGCTCTATTTTTGGTTCGCATACTTCGGCGCTATGCGGGGTATTACAGGTTGCATGAGTGCCATGGGTAGCTCGAAAGACTGCACCCTCGGAGTTGGAGGGCTGGTGCACATATCTTCGGGGCGACTCGGTTGGCGGTGCTTTTCGTTGGCCTTCATTGTTGTTTATCGGTACGTCCGGCTTTCCTTGTTTTGAAGGGTTGTCGGCTTCGAAGCTTGTCTCTGAGGACCGGTCGCTGCGTAATGACGACACTTCGCTCTCTTGGGAATAAACCGAGCAACTATAAGTTGACGTGTGTACAATTCCAGCCGCACCCTTGCGGTGCCGTGGTTTGGGAGATCCTGCAGGAGAAGTTTGACTAGACGTTTTTTTTGAGTGCTGTGAAGTAAGCGGCGCCTGCGACTGGGCCCACCTGAACCTGTCGCCTGCTAATGGGGGCGAAATAGAGTATCTGCTTCTCAGCTCACCAAAAGTGGATTCGAAGAACGGGAGTGGCGGAAGTGGCTGATTGCATCTTCCGCTGGGTATTGTTGCAGGCATCTTAGATTTGTCCTGTTCGTTTGTGCCTTTGGTATCCTTGTTGCTGTCGAGAGTAACAATCTCGCCTCTTCGCTGCCATTGAATCTTGCCGTCTTTGTATGTTCCAATTATGGAGGCCTGGCTATCGAATGATTTTGACTTTTTGGAAGCGCGCTTAGTTCCTGTTGGCTTTGCTATGTGCTTCTTGCGCCATATAGTTGTGGACTTTGTTGGAGAAGTTGTGCCAGAAGTTATCGACGAAGGCAGCTTGATATTATCAATGAACAGGGACTCTGGTATCGCTAATTCCCGCGCTCCTGAGTGTTGTACATCTTCTTGATTTTCGGGATTTGCTGGGACTGCCCGTAAAGTCGTTGCTGACTTGGAATTTTTACCTCTGAGTAACAGCAACATCCTCCTTTTAACTGCGCCTCGACAGGCGTGGCATTCGCAGATTGATGACACGGGGTAGAATAGTGCGATGGGTTGTAATGCAGAGGTACAGGGGGTGAAACGTTCAGTACTAGTAGAGAAACAGAAACTCTGAAAGAAGTCGCCCTTTCGGAGTGCGGCAGAATATACAGCTTGCCCATGGTGGCCAGGGCATGGCCTGTATACTATTACTGCCCCGAGTCAAAATAGCAATGACTCCATTTAGGCGCCACTGGACACGTCTGGGGCCGAGCAACGGTAACTATGGTGGGGCTTCGGACAGACCATGCATCGCACGGCGTGGCCAGAGCTGAGGTGAGATGAGCCCGCAACCAACTTCTCTTGCTACACCACCAAGATTCACGAGTGGATGAGGCGCACACTTATTTCCATTCGACATGATGAGCAATCTATTGCACACAATCGAAATCCTCAATACGAGGAAATTTACACAATCGGAAGGTCAGTTGCTGTCAGCTTTCCTAAATCGCGAAGATTCAGATTCAGATTCATGCAAAACTGGCATGGTTCGTCGGTTTCCGTCATCTGGCGCCGGCAAGGATCGCGCTATGTGTCGTGCATGGCAGTGTTGCACTAAATTTGTGCCCCAGAGTTGAGATAAGACTAGTACTAGACTTGGCATCATGCTGCTGCGCCATCCCGATTGTCCTATAAATGTATACTAAAGACCCCATGTAAGCCTTAGAGGGCACATAACACCCGTTTGTTTCACATTCTCAAATCCAGCTTCGCTTGCCTCGCATACAAACTCTTTAGTATAGAAACATCACTTGGCTCTGGAGAACGTTTTTACTGCGGCCATGGCAGATGTGGAGCCACTTCGGGCCGCCGTAGTATTAGAGCCGAGACGGCATCGTAACTTTCCTGTCAGTGGGTAGAATGATCCAGCGCAGGTTTAATAATCAACTTTGTTGATATGCTCACGTGTAGTGACTAGAATGCGCGATTTCAAGTAACTCTCTCGGTGAAATGTTGCTGGTAGGGTGTCCTGTTAGCAATGCTCATTGAGTTGACATTCAGCAAAAGTTTGAGCGAGAAACAACCTCGCCGATGCACTCGGTGGCCTGAACTGCTAAAAACCCGATTTCGAACCAAGGCCTCGCAGATCCGGTTAAATGCATTCCAGAAGTTCCTAGTGAACTGATAAGTATAAAGCCCCTATCAAGCGTGGAAGTGTACATCTCCACTGTACTTGGGTCGCTTTGATCCACAAATTCTAGGATGGATATGCACAATTTCCCCTTGTTCATTTCCACACGTGGGATTGTTGTCAGAACTTCATTCGCCAGCAGCTTGACCCCTGACAAGAAAGTAGGTACTCGAGCAAATACGGGGAAAACACCTCGCTACATTGGGCGCTAGCAGTGACGAACAAGGCATGGCACGTCCCGTAATCGGTGTTTCTCGTTGAAATCGTGCCGTATCCTTCATCATTGTGGACCCTTCTCGGTTTCCATGACTAAATCGACAAACTAGCACGCTAGAATCGGGGGTGCGTAACCATCCAAGGGAGCCAAGCCTTAGCACAATGGAACAATGGTTGGTCGAAGTGAGATTTTGAATGCCAGTTAGAGAAAATACTGCTGGTTTCGTCAAAGACAAAGCCATTGTTTCGCATAATATCAAAGAGTAGTATGCCTTTTGAGTCGTGCTGACTCGACGAGAGCGCTGCAAAATTGTCAGCAACACTCCAGCAAGCACGTCAGACTAGCATCGATAGCGCAAAAAGATCCAAGATAGCACAGCTAGCTTTCCAACATGAAACACGTATATGTGTGCTGTTCCTTGTCTACCCCAAGTACAGATGGGCAGAATCGCCTAGTTCGTTGTTTTCTCACTGATAGAAGGCGTCGGATGTGCACTGACAGATACCAACTGTTGGGACTGCGGAAGCTCCCGAACCTCTACACTGAGATGCAGAGCCCAGAGGCCCAACAGTGCTACTAGCCATGCCTGTTTCATTTTTTTACACCTACGTACCAGTAAAAAACACTTCCCGGGTTTTCGCGTTATAAAAGAAACCTTGCTACTTGAACGATCTGACCAACACATTCAATCGCGAAGCAGCCACATCTGCGGTTTCGTGAGACGTTTATGCACTCAACTTTGAGTTTACATACGCAAAAAGCATAAGTATTTCAAGCCATACGTTGACCTGCAGCTAGCTGGTTCGCAAGGTCCAACTCGGACATATAGTCCTTGACCAGTAGAATGGACCGGTAACAGCTTACCCAACACAAGTACACCGCGATACTCCTGTAGAAGATCTGTGCGTTTTACATGCAGTCCGCTAATGTAGATCGAACGTGGATTCGCCAAGCATAACCTCTCCATGTATAAACAGGATTTGTCATTGCAGCAAAAGAAAGCAAATGCAGACTTCCCCACAGCTTGTCAGACTTAAACGATAGGACCGGGCAAGTCCCGTCCACTCTGGACTGACATGCTCCATTTAGGCATAGCGCAACCAGTACTTTCTGTAGTCCCAATTGCTTACGAGCGGACAGTCGTCTTTGTAAACCTTGTTCTTATTTTTACAGCTGTTACCCATACTACCAGCCGGAGCTGAGGCTATTTGAATTCATCACGCAATGAGCTACAAATAGATGAGGATCTGTGCAGATTACAATGCGATAAATACGAAATCCTATTTTTGGGGTTTGCAAGGCGGCTCAGGATATGAGCTTTTCAATATTGAACAAATGGAGGACTCATTCCGCGGCCGAACCACTGTTTAGAGATATCATTGCGAATAAACCTATCAATAAGTCTTTTATGAGATTTAATTACACGATACAACATCGAGTCCAGTTTCCACTGACTATCAAAATTATATCTACAACTATAGCATACTAACATCAGGTCTGCATCCCGATTCTAATCCTGCAAATCCAGCACAACCCTGCCCTGGAGCTTGCCCTCATGCATTTCCTTGAATACATCTGTCAACTTGTCCATCTTCTCAATTCTGAAATGAGACTTGACGATACCCCTAGCCGCGAACTCCATGGTCTCAATCGCCTCCTTCCTGTTCCCTACCGCTGACCCTACAACCTGCAACGACTTGCCGATCATCAGGCTAGGAACCGCGCTCTTAATCGGCGCATCCTCTCCCTCTACCAAACCAACACAGACAACACGGCCACCGAATCGCAGCATTTCTGCTGACTGTGCATACGCAGCGTTGCTACCAGCGCAGACGACGACGGCGTGAGCGCCAAGTCCATTGGTCAGCGATTTCACAGTCTCGACAACGTCCTGGCCGCCGTCTATAGCAACAAAGTGCTCGGCTCCGCTTTTCATGACGAGGTCTTTCTTGCTGCTGTGATCCACGCCAATGACGCGGTGCCCTATGCCCCGCGCACTGAACTGCACAGCGAGATGGCCCAGTCCGCCCCCGGCGCCGGAAATCACCACCCAATTTCCGGACTCTGCATTGGTTTTGCGCAGTGCTGAGTACACGGTCACGCCGGCGCAGAGTAGCGGCGCGGCAGCGTCGGAAGCGAGGGCATCAGGAATGGGTGTGACGTAATTTGCGGGGGCGAGGGCGTACTGCTGAAAGGTTCCTGGGGTGTAGTATCCCGAGATTTTCTGTTTTTTTTTTGACACCCAAAGTCAGTAAGCGAATAGCTGCATCTCGTCCAATCCTTTACATCCTCCAGGAACGAAGGGAAAGTCAAGTCAAGAAAGCAAATCTCAGCTTACCGCATTGAAGCATGCAGCATCGAAGCCTGCCCTGCACGCCTCGCATGCTTCGCATATACCAGAAACCCACTTGATTCCCACTCTTTGCCCCAGTTTGACACTAGCATTATCCGTCCCGGGTCCCATCTGCACAATCGTTCCCACGCCCTCGTGCCCACCAACTTGTCCCGCTTGCGTGCCAAACGGCAATGACTTCCACCCGTTCGTCATGACGGCGAGGTCAGAGTGACACACGCCCGAGTGCGTTAGCTTGACGAGGACCTCGCCTTGCCCGGGCGAAGGCATGTCGAGCGTGGTTACCGCCGTGGATATTGTGCCTGGTTTGTCATATATGACGGCTTTGTATTTGGAGGGGAGGGAGGGTGCCGCCATCTTGATCCACAGTATTATTTTCTTTATCTCCTTGCCTTGGTTTGTGTATTCACTCTTGTAATGAGCAAGTGTCGAAGAGGGGGATTCTTGAATTTGGTAGTTATCTCAAGGACTTGGAAAAAGAAAGGAAAACGTTAAACGTGCTTGATCGAGCAAAGCGCCTGGAATCTTTGCACAACACTTGAATTGGAAAAAGAAAAGGTCGCCCCAATTCGATACCATCTGTTTTATATATCTTCTCTCGACATAGCCGGTCTCCCCTCCCTTCCCCGCACTACATGATATATACACCGAACTTCGCTCAGTCCGTACTAGTCCATTTACATACGGTATATGCTTACACGCCATCACTCGCTCGCTCCTCCCTCCAATCCAAATTACTTCCCCCCCCCCCCCCCCAAAAAAAAACCCAGGCCCAGCCAGTAACCAACCCAACACATCTCCAAAACCTGACAAGGCAAAGAAAAAGGTTGATTGAGCAATAACTCCGCTCAAAAAGCAACACCAACACTAAAAGCCGAGGTCTAAAACCCCACCACACCCACTCCCGCTCCCCTCCTAAACTAGTGCTACTAACCCTCCCCAAAGGGTCCCATCCCACTACTTAGACCAGTAAATCATGCATCTGCGCCATAACGCGCTTACCCCGCACCCCGCCAACGCCGGACGAAACCGAAGCGGAAAACCAAAAAAGGCGCCATGTACCAAAGTAGCAAGTACGCATACAAGCGCAAGGGGGGAGTGTGGTTCGGCGTTCGGACATGCGAACCAAGCGCGAAAAGCGGGGGGGGGGGGGGGGGACCTTAAAAAGGTTCAGGAAAAAAAAGCTATTACTAGTAGTTGGAAAAGAGAGAGAGAAGAGAAAAAAAGGTGCAACACGAGGGTTCAACCGTAGAGTTTACTTACGTCATGGGGAGGGTTGCGTAAGTACGTACGTGTAACGTTGTAGGCATGTGAAACGTCCGTCCTATGGTGGGGGGGAAATATGTATATACGGATGTTAGGGCGGACAGGGAGTGAAAAAAAAAAACGGGGATAAGGGAATAGAGTCTAGAATACGGAGGAATACGCGTCTGGCGTTAGTGAATGAAAGACGAGGCCGGATTCTAGAGTTCCCTGGAGTGTGTGTGTGTGTGCTTGCTAGTTTGTGTATCTGGATTTGAATAGGTATTTGCCTCGTGTCTCACGATTTAAGCTTACTTGTTAGTGTGTCGACATGGGGGATGCAAGAAGCTAGGGAGGTGGAAAGCATGTAGAGAGAGGTAATGACGTAGGGTATTTCAAATAGTGAATAGGAAGATACGGCAGACTAGTCGCCAATCTTACCTGCCTGGCTTTTTGCCCCACTATAAGCATCAAGTTAAGAGAGACAAGGTTTGACTACAAAACAGGTCGAGTATATGGCCTGGCAGAACGTTTGATATCAAGACGCATACACATACACACGCACATGAGGAAATGGATAAAGTTCAGATACAAAACATCCTACAGACAGTCTTTTGTTTGGAAACCCAAAATCCAATGACACTGTCCAATGATTCCATTAAAAGCTAAGCTAGGCCAGCACCTTCTTTCCATGTATTAAAGGAAGAATAAGTATCTTTTAAAAGTGGTATAGTACAGAATCATCTCGCGCATAGAAGCGTTATAGGGCGTTAGAAAGTAAAAGATGTAAGGCTGGAAATGGGTAATAATGAACGAAAGAAAGACTGCCAAACACCTTGCACCATGAAAAAAATGATGCAACTTTTTTTTCCCGTGCTAGAAATGAGTGTTTGCGCCATGGTTGAAAGAAGAAAAAGTTCAAGCTCCTTGGTTGGTGATGAAGGAGCTGGCAAGAAGATCGTCTGCACTGGGACGCTTCTCGTGGTCGATGAGGAAAGTGTCGGCTAGGAACCTCCTAGCATCATCGCCGGCGTTATCAGGAATGGTTGGACTAGCATCGCCGCTTCCACCAATCTTGAAAATGGCTTGCAGCTGCGTGCAGTTGGGATGGGGATGACTTCCGGTAAACATCTCCACAACCAAGCAGCCAAGTGACCAAATGTCGGCTTTGCGGGTGTATGCCGTCTGTCGAACAACCTCAGGGGCCATCCAAAAGACAGAACCTTGAAGCGAAACACGCTGAGCTCCCTTCTTTCCACCACCCAAGGTAGAGGCCTCGATACGCTTGGAAATACCGAAATCTGAAATCTTGACAGAGCCCTTGTTGTCAACAAGAATATTGGCACCCTTGATGTCTCGGTGAATGATATCCCGTGAGTGAAGATAAGAAAGACCAGTGAGAATCTGGCGAACAAAGTTTTGGATAAGAGACTCGCCAAGGGGACCGTAGTTGACTAACATGGTTGCTACGGAGCCACCAGGGACGTATTCGAGGAAAATGTTGAGATGGCTGTCGTCTGAGTTGGAACCCAGGTATTGCACAATGTTCTTGTGCTTGAGCTCGCGAAGAAGGCCAATCTCGTGTTTCAGAGCTTCGACCATGTTCGTCTTCTTGTGGTCCATCTGAGAAGCGCCAGCTACAGATGGGAGCTCAACCTGCTTGACGGCCATGAGCTCACCGGTAACGGCATGCAGTGCGAGGTACACACTGCCAAAGGAACCTTGTCCGATGAGAGCACCCTTCATGTACTTGACATTATCCCAGGAGTCTTGCTCCAGGTACTCTGCCAGCTCGTCGTCAGACTCCTCACCGTCTTCGGCTAGGGCTTCCGACAGGCGTTTGTTGAGCGAGTCGCTATTCTCAGTGTTGCTGCTGCTGCTGCCGGCGAGGCTGCTGCCGGCATCGTCAAAGTAAGATTGAAGGGTTGTGTTGCCATCAGGGTCGGTAATGGCTAAGCTGTCTCCGACACTGTCGCCGCCAAACGATACATAAGACTTGCGATTTGGTTCCAGAGGCGACTCCTCGTCGAGCGGCTCGAGGACAGAAGACGCCAAGGAGTCTCGGTACCCACTTTGATGAGGCAATCCGAGGCGCATGACGGATAAGGGTCGAAGGGGGCGGGCCTGTGCGCCTCCTTGGAGCCAGCTGTCGGCGATGGACGGCAGTGGTGGAGCGTCCTTCAAGCTAGAGGCAACGCTAAAATTAGACGCCATCGAAAGTCGGGACGCCGCCCGGCTGAGGCGATGAGATCGGCGTATCGACATACGAACGGTCTTGTCGATCTCATCTTTACCGACATCAGGAAAGTAGGAAGTAAGATCGGAAGTAATGAGCTCGCTGGGTGGGCGAGCACCATAGAACTGTTTGAGCTTGCGCGCACGTGCTTGGAAGTAAGGTGACCGCGAAGCCTCGGCAGGCCCTTCGAGGTTCTGGGCTGTCGAGTTGATATGGCGTTCTCGTTCTCTGGCCGAAGTGGGTGATAGGGGGTAGCTAACGGCAGCGAGGGATTCGCCTGTGAGCTTTTCGATCTTGTTTTGGCTGCGGTTGCTGGCAGGTACGTAGACGCCGTGTGGTTGTTGGTAGTTTTGTTGTTGGTAGATGCCAGCAGCAGCCTTGAGTTGATCCTCGTCAGGCTCACCTGCATGGACTTTGCGGAGAATTAACCGGCCGCGTTCGTGTCGGTTTGCATCCTTGACCAGCCTGAAAAGCTCGATATCGCTCAAACGCTCCGATAGTGACGGGTCGGGATCGGAGCTGTTGAGGATATAAAAGCAGTAATTCTTGACGTGTGCGGTGTTGAGATGTCCTTTTGTTAGTGTCTTGAGCATGACTTCGTCGGCAGTTTTGCAGCCTTCGATGTTGACGACTGAAGTGCGTCCACCATCGTAGATGACACGCACGAGAGCCTTGTCATGGGGCAGGATGGCGCTGTTGGTAGCGCTGTCCATGCTGGGGCTTGCTCGAACATGATGGGCGAAGCGAGCTGTTTGGGGTGTCTCTGTAGGTGTGCTCCTTTGGTTCCGCACAATCGGGGGAGCAATGTTGATAGAGCTGCTTGAGGCACTGAGGGGATGGGCGCCATATGTCTTGTTGCCTCCTTCTTTGGGGCTGTTCAGGCCTCCTTGGCGTTGTGACCGCAGGTTACGCGTCTCTTGGTCAACAAGAGGAGAGCCGGGACGGGAAGGCGACTTTGAGCCATATGCGTAGCTGCTGAGGTCTGAGTTTGTGATTTGCCTTGACATGCGCTTCTCCGTCCGTGAACTTATAGGGTTGGACAAAGGAGGGTTTGATCGTGCCGAGTGCATAGGACGCGGAGAGCCCGATGAGGGAGGTGTGTATGCGGCATTGTCTAGGGTAGCGAGCGATTGCCTGTTTGAGGTGCGTCGAGAAGCCTTCTTATACTCCTTGTTGCGAAGCTGCTTTGCTTGGGAGCCGATGCGGACGCGGTCACCAACTTTCTTGATGCCCATGTCCTTGAGGTGGGTCTGGTCCATCTCCATCAGGTTCTCGCCATTGATGTGGTTGACTGCGGGGAAGTGTCAGTGGTGAATAGTGGGTTGGGTTGGGGGCGGGGAGGAAGAGTGGAGACGTACGCTTGAAAAGCTCGACATACTGGGCACAGTTGATGCGCTTCAGCCATTCACCAACCTTGTCTTCGTCCCAGTGCCTGGACATGTTAGCTGTGGGGGTGGGGGTGTTTGGGGAAAGAGCAGGCGGCTCACTTGATGGCATCGGGAGCATCGTAGATTTCAGAAAACTCAGACTCAGTAGGCGAGGCAAACATGCTTTGGTCGGCGCGGGTGGCGGAGGCATGTGTCCGGTAGGTGTTGAGGCTAGCGTTATACTGGGCCGAAGACTGAGAAGCAGCTCCGCTGACAGAAGGCGCTGGGTACGGGGCCTTTGAGGCGAGCATGGCCATAGCGTGTCGTGGAGGGGGGTCGAGAAGCAGTGGTACGTGGGATGGTAATTAGCAAGTCGGTCGGTCGGTGGTTCGGTCGTGTTGCGCTATCTACTACTCTATCTCATATATGCATGGTGGGGACGGTACGCGTGGTAGGATGACGGGTGTGTATTGTGTGGTAGATGAGTGCGGTTAGGGTGGGAGGGTGTGTCTGTGTAGGCGGGTGTGGACTGGCGTCGTCTTTGTGCACTCGAGGGGGGGAAAGGGCGTATCGGGTGTCTTTATTGCGGCGGCGGGCGGGGGGCCAGGATGGCAGCTGGTGGGCGTGGAGGGAGAAGGGCTCAAGAAACAAGACACGGGCTCGAAACACTCGACCTGGCAGCCCCGACGGTCTTTGTGGAATGGAGCGGTCGCGCGAGCACGGAGACAGCTTTTGGCACCGGTGCTGGCCAGCGTACGAAGTGAAACGTTAGTGAGACGGGACCGTGCGCCTATCAGCAAATCGGATAGGCCCGAGCTGGCGCTGCTGCAGCCATGGGGCGTGTCCAGCGCATTGCCTCTGGCAGACGGTGCAGGCCAGACGGCAATTGTCGCTGGAAATCAGTTTGCCCGGGCGAGACGACGGGCGTGCCGGGTCTGGTGGTGGATGCTGGCTGTGGCGGCGGCAGTGGAGGAGAGGCGATGAGGAGGAGCAAGGTCGGGGTGGCGGGCAGGCGCTTGCAGAGAGGAGGAGGAGCCCTGCGTCTACGATTACGCTACCACATGCCACCATTACACGACGCACTCGGACACGGGCAGCACACGATAGCAAGCTACGGCTGCCAGTGCAGTCGAGTGCCTACCTACTACTTACTTGGCAGGGCGGAGCCGGTGGCCCGCGGCAGGCAGGCATCGCGGTCAGGCATCATGGTCAGGCAGAAAGGCAGACACGGGCAGAAAGGCCGGGAGCCGAGCAGCGACGAGCGGTGGATGCGGTGTGGCCAGGGAGGGTAATTTGCCATGGGCCGTTTAGGAGCCGGTTGCAATGCAGGGCGGCGGCTCAGAATAGCAGCGACATGAGGGCCTCTCCTTTGTGCTCATCTCCTCGACGACTCCTCCACCACACGCTGCCGCCTCTGGGGTGTGGGTGTGGGTGTGGGTGGGCTGAGGGCCGATCCCGTGACCGCGCACGTGCCCGCCCTGCACCTGCACCTGGGCCACAGCCGCACCCGTCCGTCCCACACAATGTCAACCCTCGTATCCTCGGGGCCGAACCACCATGTACCACTACTCGACATGCCTACTGCTGCACTCGCGCTGACTTGCAGCCGTTGGCCGTGGCGCTGCTGACGGGCGCGTAGCCTATTGCGTCGCTGGCGCTGCTTTTGTTTTAATTTGCCTGGCCTGCTGCCACTGTCTGGGCCGTCTTCTGCCGTATCCAGCGTATGCCTATCTGCGACATGTCTCTGCCCCATGTCTCTGGTAAACAACAACAAACGGCACTGCGAAATAACAATCGTCAGTGGTAAATGGCCCATGTTCATGCCGTCCGTCGCCGCTTGTTTGGTCGACCGTCTGCTTTGTTTCTTGTAAGTGAGCGGACATGCATGTCATGCCTACCCCCGGCCGCGCAGAGGCCAGCCACTGGCACACGGCCACAGTTGAAACAACAACAGCCAAAACAAGCCCTCGCACGCCGCGTCATTGACGACGCCAAACAAACAAAACTGACAATTGCCGCCTCTCCGTCATCGCCGTGCTACTGCTGCTGCTGCTGCTGCTGCTGCTACTACGACTGCCGCTGCCGCTGCCGCTGCCTGTGCCCGCAGTCGTGCTCCTGACTCCTGACAATCCCCGCAATCCTGACCTGACAATCTCCTGGCGTGCCCAGCTCGGCTCGACCAGGCCACACCAGACCACACTGGGACGTTCTTGCAAAAACACACTGCCATGACGTTCTGCTTATTATGACGCAAGCCACACCACCTCTCCCGCCCGCCCGTCAAGCCCCAAGCCCCTCACGGCCGCTGCTTCCAACCAAGATAATGGCCCCGCGCTGCCTCTCTGCCCTATCTAATGGCAGAAACCCTACCTCAGGGCCCTCGTTCCCTCGGGCTTCTTGTCCTTTGTGACTGCTGACGCGCTGCCCGGGATACCGCTGCTTTGTAGTATACAACCCAACGCCCAAACTCCACTCAGGCTCTGCCGTGTTTGCTTCCACTGCCTTCTGCCTGTCGCCTCATTTCCCCACTCGTCCGCTGTCGTCTTCTCTGCCAATCTGCCATTTTCGCCTGTACATGGCAACTCTGCTATAGCCCTTTCACTTGTTTGCGCGGCGTTCCGCAACCCGCCATCTACACAAGACGCCTGCACTGCCCAACCTCATCTTGCAGCCATAGCAGCCATGGCCTATCGCGACCACCCTGATTCCGCCTACGACTCCTACCCCTCCTCCTCTGACAAACAGCATTCTCACCGCGGAAGAAGCCCAGACTATGATGCCCCCAGAACCAGGTCCCGCGGAAGATCAAATGCTCCCGACTATCAGCCTCGTGATACGAGCCCTGCCTGGGACCGCCGTACTTTCGACGCTGCCTCCCAGCCCATTCAGCAGCCACTGAAGAATGCCATTGGCAATGCTTTTGAAAAATCCGACGCAGCCCGTGTCGTCGACCCCAATCTCATTGCTCAAATCACGGCCGAGGTGAAGAAGTCGGTTCTGGATGAGATCAAGTCAGGTGTCATGGCTGGTACGACGCAGCATCAGCCTGTACCCGTCTCGTCGCAGCAATGGGTTCCACCTTCCCCTGCCTCGACTTCCAATTCCATCCCACCCCGCGACGTCTACACCCCTCCGTCTCCCAAGCGCAGCGATTTTGCCCCCCACCACTCCCCGGACCGAGGCCCCTTGCATACCGATCCACAACCAGATACTAACCACGATACGCCCACCACACGATTCGACCGCACTGTCCCCATGGAGCGAGAACGCCCGCCCACCCGGCCGCCTGCTGCGCCTAGAATGGCAACTGAAGACTATACCCCTATTGAGAAGATGTGGCAGCGCTTGTTCGACTCTGATGGCCAACCCTTGCCCCGCCTAGGCCAACTCCTGAGAGGTCTAGCACTGCACCTGGCGAGTACCCTGGCCGTCCGCGGAGATACCCTGGGCTAATATCCGTACAGATTGAAGACTACGAGCCAAAAAATAGTCTGGTCATTTCCCCTGCCAAGATGCTTAGGTTCTATGAAGAAGTCAAGGTCAAGGACGAAATTTATCCATGGCAAATGATATTCGGCAAAATATCGTATTCTTCCCTATCCAAGGTGTACCGAGACATGCGATGCCAACATCATCTTATCCAACAACACCCTGCAGAGCAACCGTATATTCCGGCCCTCACGCCCGATGGGTTTCAAGAATGGATGACTGCTATGATCCAGGCATATCCCGACACTGAGTACGAGCGACTGACCAAAGCTATTCTCGACATGCCCATCAGCAATGCAGACGATAGGAAGGAACGTTTTCCTAAAGAACTTCCTCGCAGAATGTTTCCCACTGCCGAGAACCTTCACGCCCAGCAAAGATGCGCCGCTGCTCTTTCTTCTGAGGGCGTCGGGCCACTCCGAAAAGCCCCAACATTTCCACCACCGCCTCCAAAGACCCAAGATCCCCCTTCGAATGGGCCGAAACTTGAACGAGAGCGGAGTCCATATACTTCTAAGCCAGAAGTTAGGCCCATGGACATGGAAGACGAGTCCATGCCTACCTCAGTACCCATTGAGCGAGAGCGCAAACCGTACTCAGCAGCTCCAGGTGGTGGCAAGTCATATGATGACATGACCTCAAGCACCCACTCCGACACTACAACGAATGACAGGCGCAGACGTGCGCAGTCAAATGCAGGCCAGGCTCCATGGCCGTCTCCACCAAACGACAATTCCTACCAACCGCCCCACCACGCTCGCACAACCTCAACAAACACCCGACAACGAAGCCCTAGTTTCTCAAACTATGGTACCCAGTCGGACCCCAATGTTCGTGACATTCCAAACACTTGTTACGGGTCGAACATGTATGAAGACGAGGCTCGCCGCTTCAAACAGGATTTCGATAGTAAGAAGCAAAACCGACGCCGTAGCGGTACCTCTGGCATGGACGGCTCTTTCGACGCTTCTTCACGGCCTCCCTACCCTGATGACGAATATCGACCACGAAACGGAAGCAACGGATATGACAACAGAGGTTACGACTCGCGCCGCTACTAGATGTGCGCAATGCCTAAAACAAGAATTGATGAAGTTACGATATATACCCAGAACGTTGTCTTATTATTTCGACGTGTCTCCTGTTCTTTTTTTTTTCCTTCTCCTTTCGTTCATGGCGTCTATGGAACGTGAATGGTTTTGATGGGACAACTTTTGACCGAAATTGCACTAGTAAATTATGGGCTCAGAGCCTTTGTCTATTTTGATACAGTAGCTGTTATGTTTTTGAGATACCATAAGAGAATGCATTTAACCAACTTCATTCATTTATCACTTGTATAAAGAAAAACGACTAGCGAGAAATTCGATTGTTGAATAAACCAAGTCTGTCATGACCTTGTATTGGTATGATTCCCAAGCTATTTTTGGATCATCAAGTTGCTAGGCGTTGCCTTTTTGGTTTCTTCTCATAATGTGCATGCGCGAAAAAAAAACACTTTTACTTCACACATGCGCTAGTTCAAACTTTTTACATTAGTGCATGCCGGGCCGGAATTTATAACGCATGCAAGATCGACATGTGCTTTAGCGTCTTTCTGTCACTGCGTCTGGAGCTGTCTGGTGGTCAAAGAGGATATACATGTCGTTGAGTATGTAAGAAAGCAGGTTCACGTGATTCTTTTGTTCGTCTTTTGATTGTAGGAAAGCGCTATGGTTAACGTTTGTGGAAAGCTATGTGAGATTCTATGGTATTTCCAGTAATCACAATGAATCCCCAAGCACCTTGCATGTATAAAAGTAAAACAATGTGCGCAATGGCGGGACTATTGTGCAAGCTAAGATACCAATCGTAACATCGTCGTCACAACACCAACCTCCCTACTTGTGTACAGCAGTTGCTGCACATGTATACCAGTAGTGAGGCAGTATATTTCTTTGGACAAGATACTATAGGAGATGGCTTTGCTCAAAATTTATAACATGAGATAGGCAGCATCTATGACATAAGCTACCTCTGGGCAACGGTGTATTGGTCCCCAAGTGCTCCTTCCTTCAGTTGCTTTTTTTGCATCCACATACAACTCACCTGGTACTGCCCACTTGCTTTTTTGCACCCACATACAACTCAACTGGTACTGCCCACTTGACTATCACAGCTAACCAGGTCAAGATAATGGGATTGGAACAGAGGGGATCCGAGAAGAACAATTCAAGTTGTACAGATATATAAAAGCTTCTGCCGGAAACAGAAGATCAGTACAACAAACCCCACTCCTCACTCCTCACGCAACTTACTCATCACCAGCCTCGAAAGAAATCCAGTCACCATGCAGCTATCACTGTTCCTCCAGATCATCTCCAGCAGCCTCGTAGCTGCCCAATTCGGATCCACCCTCAACAATGGCATGCCGATAACATGCGGAACTGGTAAGCACATACATACACCTCCACTCTCTTGCACACATCAAGTATCATCAACAACACGTTAACCCCAAACAGGCTACATACCATCGCTAACCTGCGATACACCCAACGGTATGTGCTCCTGCACATGCGGCAGCGGAGCTGTCTACCAGAAACCCGAGTCCTCACTCAACACCGGTCCAGACCCCATAGACTTCTCTATTCCGCAACGCCTCGCGACTAAGCCCTGCACGGGCGACGAACTCACACCCTGGCAAATAATCAACGTGCGCCGTGCAGGGGGAACGCTACAGGATTCCACGCTTGAATCTACAACTATCGACAATCCCGAGGACAGCATTCTCCTCGTGGCTGATTCGATAAATAGGTGTGAGCGGTTCGAGGTATACATTGATGGTCTATTGGTGGGAGAAACGTCGGGAGAAGGGCCCCGCGATAATTACTTGTGCGGTGCCGTAGAAAAGTGCATGAAGGAAGGTGCAGATTTCGCTTATTTTACTCTTCCGCGAGGTAAGTTCTTCTATTTCTTTTTACAAGTCGTTTTCTTCTACTCGTCCTACACCCTAGCCTGGTAATTCACCCAAGCTAACTGCATATCCCTTTGTAGGAAAACATACCATTGGTACCAAATGGGTCAAGGCAACCGACGCATGCAAGTCCTGGCCCAATGGCGTTGCGAATATCCAGACGTACAAGCCTTGCATGTAACTGTAAGATATGGGCTTGGTTGTTCTTTTTCCATCTTACTCGACAAAACACACTGGCATAATCAGATCAAGCACATTGCGTGGAAAGCATCTTTCTCGCATGCTCGGACTTTTCTGGATCACGGTACAGCACTGAAAGAAAGGCACAGCCAAGTAGAATACTCGACAACATGCTAGGATACGAGCATATTACACTCCTTAATACATAGTACATAATACATAGCAACTCGTAACCTCTTGCAGCTTTCATCAATCAACCAGATCGATATCGTTTCATAATCTTACACGGTATTCGCCTCTGTAACATGGATACCAAAGCAACAAAAACGTATCTTGGCTTTACCACCTCCCCATATTCTCTTAAAATGCCTATTACGCACTTCTTTACAACCTCTTCAAGAGACACTTCGAATATCTACTCCAAGCACTCTAATCCCTTGCGAAAATATTTTATTATTATTATTTTTTTTTTAAAAAAAAAAGGATCAAGCCGCGTAAATCTCGGCATGAGAAAATTTATACATTGCAACTTTTTTTTTCTCACCGTCCATGTATATGGCACACTTTTGCATATCTTGCTACTATACCCGTCATGCTACTCTTAGTTTGAGTACTTGCTTTCTCCAAGTTAGGCTGATTTGCGTGGCAGCTTTAGTTTTAGGAGATGGAGTTTTAGGAGAATGGTATAGTATGGCTGTGCGTAATCCTCTGGTTTCTTGATTAGAATGTTGGTTGAGTGTGGTAATGTGTAAGGTATAAGGGTGCGTTATGGTATGTTGCGGCGATGCGGTAGGGATCTTGATTGGGGTTTGGTGGGTAGCAAGAGTGGGGTAGGTGGGTATGGCGATGTGATTGGTGTTTTGGGGTTAGGCAGCATACGTAGAGGGTTGTCCTTCGAGCACTGATTGGGAATATCGGCTCCCTGAAGTCTACCTTAGGTGCCCGGTAGCCCCACGTTATACCGTCAAAGTATGATGTTTTCTCAATGGGTTGCGTATTCCTCGAGTTCTGCATTTGGTTTTGGCGAGGGTCGCACGACGTGGAAATCACATCCTTGCCACTTGGATGGTTGCTGCCGGACCCAGTGTGGGTCTACGGAGAATGCCAGATGTTCTCCAAGCACGCAGGCACATTTTGGAGCGCCACCAATCTCCTGTCGACGTTGTCATGCAAGAACACATCAAGACTGTCTTCTATCGGTGTGGTCGCACGGGAGCGAAGCTGGTTGGTACTGCCCCACGATCCTTCGCATGCTGGAGTTGTGTCCCTTTCTACATTCAGCTCCACATTGTTCCTTCACCCCCTGATGTTGCAACAACTATGTTTACTTATTATCGGCTCTAGCCCTATCACATGCCACAAGTTTTCTGTATTGCGCCCCGCAGCCTCCTATAGGGCTTGTAAAAAGGACACATAGTTCATAATTTTACAATTGTAAAAGTAACTATTCAATAATTTTGTAATAACTCGAGTGAATAAGAGAAGAAGGTATATATGCCGTTACGCTTGTGACCGTAGAACACTAAGGAGGGCCTAACCGACGTTTGAATCTTGAGCATCATTCCGAACGATGCCTTCCCGTTTGCGTGCGCAACTTCATGAACTCGCGGAATCCCATGAAATCTTCGTAGTCTTGTAACTGGTATCCTGTACCCTGGTGCTGACGTTGCGCAGTTGTGCGTCTGGCGTTGGAAAAGTCTGTGGGCGGCAAGCGTTGGGATGTGTAACAAGACAAGATGAGGAAGAGGATATAGTAATGTGTGTTCACGTACATGTCCACGGGCTGCACAACCACCGTCTTGCTTTAGGCGAGGCTACTAGGCTGACCAAGATGCCAAAGATTGCCACACAGACACCGACTAATGTTAACATGGCTTCCTTGGACCATCCAGCAGTCGATCTGGGTGTCGTGGGTGCGGCGTTTGCAATGGGTGCCATGGTGAGGAGGTGGAATAGAAAAATATGTATGGGTGTCATTGTAGGATGGGGGTGGTGAGGAGCACAGTATTTTTTTAAGAGTTGTAGGTCTGAAGTCAATACTCGAATGTGTTCTTCCATGTTATGTGCCCCCAGCGCAAGATGCTTTCATTCATATAGTTTACGTTTATAATGATCAGCCTGCACTCGCCCTCTCGCCCCATCCCAAGTCGTCATAGCGCCCCTCCTTCCCTATATTTACTAAAAACTGACTGAACGAAATGTGGGGTTGCCTACACTAGTACTAAGCTACATTTGTACATTTGAGGCTGTGCTTGTCGCTAATGTACAGACACTCCACCCCACCCCATTCACCGGGCCGACGAGATCATGACTTGGAGGATTTGTCTATCTGGCGAGCAGTAGCCAAGCGTCAGGGGGTCGGCCATGGATACGCGAATAGAGAGAGTTAGCGTGCAAGCTTCATTTCCGACAGCACACCGGGTTTGCGACAGTACAGCGGGTTTGCGACAGCAGTGGAGAGCTAGGCGTGCAGGAATGGGTGTACGTATAAGTCCCGTACTTCAGCATTGCACTCCACACCTTGCAGCCATCTTTCTTTCTCTCGACTTTCACAGCATTTTCAGCCTTGTCACTCAGTCGTCTTACTTCCAATTCTCATAGCATTTTCAGCCTTGTAACTCAGTCATCTTTCTTTGAATTCGCATTGCGTCTTCGGCTAGCCCCTTGCACTGACCTCATATGTTCATCCGAACCCATGCCTCTGCATCCTCTTACACAGCCGTGTTTGTATCACTCTGCATTTCCAACTTCCCGTGTCACGTGTCTTGACAGCCAACTCTCTACTTGCATCGAAGCCACACCAGGCCATGCAACAGCAGCACCTTTCCACCAGCTCGTGGCGCCCAAGACAAATACTACCACCATGGCGTCGCTCACAACAGTGCTGTATAGGACGCTGTACTTGTCAGCCGTCCTAACATATCCTGCATACCGCTCGGAAGCCACAGTCAATATACACAGCTTGTGTGAGTGAGAGGATAACAGTTTTGTTCACAGTAATTCTCAAACCCATAGGACAAAGTGCTGGGAACACCTCTTAACAAGTCATGCTTACCTATCTAGGTCAATGTAATGAGAAGTCCAAAACGATTGGTGGGGCCGATTATGTGATATTTGATGTTTCGCTAAGAAGCTTTCAAAGTGTTGAGCGATTTTGCAGAAGAGACCGAGCGTACTACCGCCAATGCTAGATATGCTAGTTGATTCAACTGGACTCGGGTAGGATCTTGGAAAGAGAATAGTTCTGGGACTTTATCTCCATCAAATCATTCCCACATCCTTGCGTTTCTAATGAGTTCTGAACGGCCATTGGAAAGTCGATGTCAAAGCAGCTTTGTAGGAGATGTTGAGCGTCTTCAAGAAGAATAAGTTCAAGAGAAATCAAAATATAAAAGTTCATCATATGTTCGTCAAATAGGAGGATATAAGTTATCCAAAGTAGCTGCAAATCCAAGTAATCTGCCTTTTGAGTATTCAAAAACTCATCCCTTTCAACTGACCCCAACGCTTCATAACCGCTGTGACAGCGGCACACTACTAGTCGTCGGTTTCGATTTGCCTGATTTGTCCACCGTCGGTAATATATCCTCATCTGGCTTGTAGCTTGCGCGATTCCCGCCAAAGCTATCCTGAACGTGTACTTGATTCCGATATCTCGACTTCCATCGTGGTAGCTCACCATTTTGTGCCCGGCCTACGCCCATGTCTCTCCACCGCTTTGGTGGCTTGACTCCCATCTCTACCAAGTTGGACCATATCCTCTCTCCGCGCTTGTTCCACCGCTCCATTCTCTCTTCATACTCTTCGTCCGAAGGCCGCCATTTGCTCTTTAGTATGCGGCGGATGGCTTCCGGGGAGACTTTGAAGTAGTTGGCGAGGACGGGTGTGGTGAATTTATCGGGTTGCGTGCTGTTCAGATGACGTATGCCTTCCATGGTATCGGGCGACAGCTTTTTGCGTGGGTTCCATGCTTCGCCTCCCAATTTCTCCTTCAGGGCTTCCTTTTGCACCTGCCATGCAGGGCGTTCGTTCTTTGCTTGTACCTCTCCTGTAAGAGCATCCTCGACCTCGACATCAACATCAGGCTGCGCTTTTGCTTTTCTCAAGGACGGCCGATCTATTCGTTCCAGTCGGCGTGAATCTGAGCGGAATCGCGATGGTTGGGGGTAGATGAGTGGCCGGCCAGTAGGAAAAACAGGCTTTACATTGGCGAATGACTGTATAAAAAGGCTCAGCGTCCGTCGTGTGCAATTGTGGCAGCTCATGGTTGTTCTAAATTGGAGATGTGAAGTCTCTCTTGTCTGCCTCGACAACTTTCTCGCACGGGCCCCAGTACTAAATGTCTACCGCCACTGGCAGGCTAGTGCTAGCACGATTCATGATCAGCCGCGACTTGCCCCAAATGGTGACATCAATGACCCTGTCCAACGGTTAGATGCAACGGTCAAATCTCGGAAACCACCTCGAATTTATCATTTTCCGACCGTCAGAGCGATGGCCGAAGAGCCAAGCGGCGACATGGATGTGGACCCCTCACCCCCATGCGGGTTTAGGGCCTCGGTATCATATGATGGTTCCTCCATTTCCGCATGAATACACGCTCTGCTTTCTCTTGCGCTCACTGTTTCTTACGGTTATATCGCAGCGCGTGCTTGTTTATTGCATTCTGTTACACAGTCATGGCGTTGCCCAATCTATTTCAGAGGCGTACAGCCAACACTAGATAGTACGTCTGGAAGCGGAAGACTATCACTGACTCGGACTAACCATTACCAGTTGCTGGGGTTATAGTTTCGAGTGGACGCCTGAACATCTTACTCCAGAGCAAATGAAGCCCATGAAATTTTCGTATGATGTGCTTGCAGAGGAATGTCTCGATCGCCTAAATGCCATATCGCCACCGCCCAAGGGTGCTTTGCCGAGAAACGATACCACCAGGACTCAGATGGCATCAGCGCCTGGCACTGAAGACGAAAAGAAAGAGCCCTTGCCCACGCCAAAGCGGGATCTCTATGCTTTACTAGAGGAGCATCACGAATCTGACCCGAAACTTGCGGAGCTGTGGCGACAAGTAAACACTGTGCCGGAGTGGGTAGACTGGGAACAGATAGGCAGAGGACAGGATGTTTTCTATCGTTACGGAGGACCCGCTCTGACTGGCCTTACCTATCAGTCACTGTTAGGCGGTATGGGTGCTGCACGAGTCGTCGAGACATTGGCACGAACTGGAGGCTTCAGCACAAAGGTAGCAAGGGGAAGACTATTCGAAACGACGCAACACATTTTGCAATGCACAAGGACATTGGAAGGCATACAGCCCGGTGGAGAAGGCTTTGCCTCATCGATCCGCGTCCGCTTATTACATGCTGCAGTCCGGCAGCGCATCATGAAGCTGGTACGCGAGCGGCCCAGCTACTTCAACGTAGACGAATGGGGCATACCAATCAACGATTTGGATCAAATAGCCACCATTGGTACTTTTTCATCGACACTCATCTATCTCAGTTTTCCACGCCAGGGCATCATCCTCCGCCAACAGGAGATCGACGACTATCTCGCGCTATGGCGCTATATTGGTTATATCATGGGCACGCCCGACGAGTGGCTTTCGACTCGCACCAAAGCAAAAGCCATTATGGAGTCCCTTCTCTACTACGAAGTCGAGCCGTCAGACATGTCAAAGGTTATGGCCAACAACATTATCTACGCGCTTAAGGAAGAGCCACCGACCTTTTCTTCAGCAGACATGCTGACAGCCAGCGCTCGTTGGCTCAACGGTAACGCACTGTGTGACCGGCTTGGCTTGAAGCGTGTATCGGCATACTACTGGTCCCTCATGGCGGGCCAGTGTCTCTTCTTCATCTTCTACTGCTACACTTACCGCCTCTTCCCCAATGCCGACCGTAGGAGGATCGAGCGTGCAAAGGACATATTCTGGAATCTGACTGTAAAGTCAAAGTGGGGGTTGGCTGGTACGGAGACGGCGTTCGATTTTAAATATGTCCCGCAGTACGATACGTTGACTCACTTGGGAGACATTGGTGAGAGGAAGCAGCAACGGTTTAGTAACGAAATGAGGAACCTGAAGGCCTTGGGTATTGCGGTTGGAGTGCTAACGGTAGGGACAATTGTTTCGGTCAAGATTGCTTTGCACTTTGTTGGGAGGATGTGGTGAGTTGTGAAAGAGGTGCTTCTATGGGGCAAATACATATTAGAGTATACTGCATTTTACTCTGCACGGACTGCACCATGCCGCCTGTTCCTACCTTGCAGAGAGTGTGTTGCGCATCACGTGTATCACTACGCGTTCATTTCACCTTCACCTTCTCTTTTCTCCTGTTTTCCGCAAATACTTGATCGCTATCAACGGCTCAGTCGCCAGGACCTGCCTTTCAAGTCCACACAAAACAAATGTTCTCCATCTTTCTCCGCTGTCTCAAGATTGACGACTGGCTCCAAGACATTCTTCCAATAGAATACTGCTCCCAACCCAGCCTCACATCTACGTTCATCATCAATACGCTCATTCGACATGCGCAAACGAGCCCCTCGTACCTGTCCTCAAAATCCCTCACAAGATGGCGTATGTGGCTGTCATGAATTCTGGGAGCGCAGCAAACAGCCTTCCTCCAATACCGAGGTCACTGCAGATGCGACAGGAGGTGGTGAGAAGACAATAGCAGAGCAAGAAAGAAAGAAGAAGAGAAGGAAAAGAGGAGGAAGGAAACAGCGCAGAAAGGAAGAGAAGAAGAGGATGGAAGAGGGGAAGGGGGAGGAGGCTATGCAAGTTCTAGTCGATTATGAGCTTCCTTACGACAATGAGCGTCTGGACTGGGACACGGATGAAGTGCGGAGAATGGTGGGAGAGATTGCGTGATGGGCTCTTGACAGGACAGAGCATTGGATTTGAAGACTATATACATGGATGGTTTCATCCGCCGATAGGAATCTGTGGACAGCTGTGCACGCAAAATTAA